CCTTTGTGCCGCTAAAATGGTTTTTCTAATTAGTTGCAGGAGTTGAATGACAGCTTTGTCCGATACTGTCACACCGACACGGAGGCTTTTCTGAGTGATATCGACCGCTCGCTGTCATCAAGCAGACGAGTGTTCCAGCAGCTGGAGAGAAAGAGCGTCTCCGAACCTCAGGAGAACGATTGGGACCGAATAAAGAGCCAGGTCAGGGGGCGAGATACACTAGAAGCCGCTTGTATCATTAAACAAGGCTCCATAAAAATATCTAATCCGGGTCTGATTCTTCTTCCAGCCTTGCCTTTCCCTTGACAAGTCAATGCTTGCAAGGGGACCACAGCATCACAGCTGCAATACAGAAAGTACATATCTCTCAGAGGTGATCATTCATTTTTACCAAATGAATGTGAGTGAGTAGGCTAATAATCCTCTGTGTTTATCAAAAAACACGAGCAAGTCTGATGATGCACGGCAGGCTTTTCATCACCTGGCCTACTGCGGAGGAACTGAAAAGACATTAAGATTTGCTGTTCCTTAAGGCCCCATTGTTGGCTTTCATTGCAGTCAGTGCCATTTTTCCATAGAGGGAGTGGGGTGTGTGCAAAGAAGATGTCTGTTTTTTTTCTTTATCTGGTGTGAAAAGGTTGAGCACAAGGCAGGAGTGGCTCAGCCTTGACATGAAGCATCAAACGCTGAATGCGCTTTCAACACATGCCTTGCACCTTTTTCACGGGTACAAACTCTATAAACTGGCGTGCAGCTCGTTATGAAACATTAAACAGCGGGCGCATGCTGGCCCTTAAATACAGGAAGCTTGCCTTTGGTTAATCATTGGTGAATCCATGCATGTGATGCTTTGTTTTGTATAAGGATCGCTGATAAACGCGTTATTGCTTCGTGTCCGATCAAACCTGTCAGGTTCTGCCAACAGAACCTCAGTGTCCTCTTATTGTGCAGGTACATATTAAGGCAAGTTCAAGAGAATTCATGTGATTTACTTCAAACTCTTACAGGTTATCCAGAGAGGTGTGTGGGACTGCCCCATTTGCCTGACTGCACTAAGCAACCTCAGCCTCCCGACAGTATCGGCGAGATCCAACCATCAACAGCGGAGACCAACCGTGCTCCTGTCCTGTTCCCACCTTTTCCACCAGCTCTGTCTTGAGGCCTTTGAGGCCTTCTCTGCAGATAGTAGACCTTTGTGTCCACTGTGCAGATCTGCGTACCACAAAAAACCTATCTAATAGGGTGGAGAAGGCAATCTGGATGACTCCATGTGGGTCGCTTAATATAAAATCAGAATTAGCTGTATAAAATACTAAAATAAAATAAGCATTTTTGCTGAAGCTGTGCAGAATTATGCTTTCGTACAATGAATATTCTCTGGGTTACAGCCTCTACATAGAGGTGGGTCACAAACTGTTTAAAAAACACATTTTCAGTTTTGTTAGAAACCTCAACCAAATCAGTTTTTCTCTGGGAAACTTCTTGAATTTGTTCCAATTTTTGTTTTCCTTCAACCAACTTTGAACCAGTATCACAATTTTGATAGTTGCACAACTGCACCAATTTAATGTCTGTGACACAGGGTAGCAGAGTGGTAGCCTGGATATTTTATCTGTTTTCTGATCACTCGAGAAGACTTCAAATGTCAATATCCCTTTCCACCACATCACAAAGCTATTCGATTGAGATCTGGTAACTCTGAAGGACTACAGTGAATTTTTTTTATCATGTTCAAGAAACCAGTTTGAGATGTTTTGAGCTTTGTGACATGGTGTGTTATCCTGCTGGAAGCTCCCATCAGTAGATGGCCACACTGTGGTCACAAATGGATGGACATGGTCAGCAACAATACTCAGGTAGGCTGTGGTATTTTATCAAAGCTCAGTCGGTAACAAGGGGCTCAAAGTGTAGCAAGAAAATATCTCCTGAACCACTACACAACTAGCAGCCTGTACTGTTGATGCAAGACAGCAGGGATCCTGACTCTATTATCTCCTAATTACGGCCTAAGTTTGGTGAACCCTTGTGAATTGTAGCCTCCGTTCTTAGCTGACAGGAGTGGCATCCAGTATGGTCTTCTGCTGCTGTAAATATCTGCTTCGAGGTTCAAAATGTTGCGCATACAGAGATGCTCTTTTGCATACCTTATTTGTAATGAGTGCTTATTTCTTATCAGCTCGAAGTAGTCTGGCCATTCTCATCTGACCTCTGACATCAAAGCATTTTCATCCAAAGACCTGCTGCTTACAGGATGATTTCTTTTTAAGACCGTTCTCTGTAAACCCTAGAGATGGTTGTATGGGGAAAGTCAAAGCAATCAGCGTTTTCTAAAATACTCAGGCCAGCCCATTAACAACCAACAACCAGTCAGTCACTTAAATCACCTTCTTTCCACATTCTCATCCTTAGTTTGAACTAAGACCACCTTAACTAAGTCTACAAGCCTTAAAGCAATACATTTCTGCAGTTTGATTGGCTGATATTTGTATTACTAAGCACCTGTACCAAATGAAGTGACCAGCAAGTGTACATATTACACTGACTTTGACTTCATATTGTGACACTTTGAGTGGGTGTAAAATTGCTTTGGCTGCAGTTTTAACAGAGCATAGAGATGATTTTGAGCCCCGGAAATCTCATGAGGTTTTCACCTATAATTAAGATGTTATGAGGGATAAAAAATAAAAAATTAAAAAAAATGACGGAATACATAAGGCAAATTGAAAAGTGTCCATATTAGACCCACCCTATTATAGTATGCAAGAAAAATGTCGCAAAGCTTCATTAAAATGCTACGATTTATGTACAATAAATAAATAAAACCAGCTGATCCTGAGGGTTTCAGGTAGGGATAACCTAATCATCTATCACAGTTAAACATTAAATATGAAGCTGGAACCGACAGGCCGTGATCTCGGCATAATCATGCAGGGTGAAGAAGTGAAGCAGACTAAAACCACAACTAAAGCGTACATAAAACTCTGCATCGCTCACGTTTACTTTGTGCATTAAAAAGAAACACGAGAGACGTTATTTACCAAACAGCAGCTAGCCCTTGTGTAGTTGTGCCACCGTGAGAGTTAACAGGCAACCAGCAGCTGTTGTTTGACAAGACATAATTATAGCGCATAGCTCCCCATTAAACCACAAGCTATCTTTTCATTGCTTATTTATGGATTAAACAAGTGAGATATTATGTTGGTGAGCTTTATAGGTGCCATTTTTCTTTATATCTGAGGACGGAGCTAGGATGGCTTCCCAGTCTTACCCTGAGCAAAGCTAATAACATCCTGCCATCATACCCACAACACAAATATTACAATGGTGTCATTCTTCTGATCCAACACATCCACATTTTCACCTTTTATTATGGGAAGGAAAGAAACTGATTACTGGACAAGTAATAGGTAAACATTGAAGTCACAATTAGCCAACGACCGCTGATGACCTGATTGCCACAGTGACAAATGAAAATAAGTTGAAGCATTTTCTTTTATTTGCAAACACACAAACATCGAAAAGAACAAAACATTACATTTAGCAGACTGAAGAATTGTTTAAAAAAAAAAATACATTCACAAAAAACATGTACCAAAATTACATGCAGGGGTCGAGTGTCAGATGGAAAGAAATGAAAGCCTGCTCACTGACATTTCAGAGCAATTTTCAAGTTTTTTGACCCCCCCCCCTTACAAAAACCCCATTAAACAGATTTATTGTAAATGCAGTATGCAGAGTTTGATTGTGATGCTTTATTAGGGGTGTGACACTTTCCTGCAGTGTGTAGCTGAGTGGATGGACGCACGGGTTTAACCTTTTCACCCAGATGAAGAATTATTAATTTTAATCTCTAATCCATCAGTGTCACCCTTTGACCTACCACATTAATTTGTGCCACAATGGTATTTTTCACAGTATGCAGACATCAGCGTGCTTTTACTGGAAACAAATAAAATGACAAGAAACATACCAGGACATGTACCTCAAGTTTCTGCCACTACACAACTTGCTCTCTTGATATGGCCTTGATCACAAATCAGACACATGGCTGTACTTTGGATTTGGGATGAAAAGCCGACATAATCACCATTTACAAAACATTCTCAGGTCTGATTGGAGAAGTTGGTGTCAGTGAGTTTTTTCCTTAATTCCAGTCTTTGTAACAACATCAAATTGCAGTCAGTTTTTGGTGCAAAAAAATTCTCCTTCCCATTTCGATTGCATATACAAATTCAGCTTTTTTTCCTCCTTCTTTTCATCACTCTATCACTTAAACGACCATGAAAATACAAAGCGCACACACACACACACACACACACACAATCATCATGAGATCACTCTAATCTAGTCTCAATGGAGCTGATGTGACATAAACTTTCATGGCAAAAAGAAATGGCTTCAGACTAGAAACTCTGGCATACAGGAGATCACAGTGGAACTGTCTACACGCTCACAATGCCCACGCACACACGCACGTGTGCACGGACAAAAACTCCACAGAACCTTAACATTAAGCCTGCTTTTTCGTATAAGGCATTTAAGGTGGTTCTGGAGACAAAGAACATCACAGTTCAGAAGATTATGCAGCAATACAACATGTAAAAGGGGCCTGAGTCACCTAGTCTTTCTCACAGCAACAAAGCTGGATGTTTTCTTACTCATGCATTCTGTGTGAAGACCTACAGATTTGCATTAGATGAAGCTGTTTATAAAAAAAATATATATATAGGTATATTTACAAGAAAATACAGAATGCTTAGTGATTCAGACCCTGGGTGCGAGCCCAATGTTTACATCCAAAATAGGTATGAAACAATGAAATATGTACATGTGTATACAACATTTACAAAGAAACGTGACCATTTCTGTGCCCTGTATAAAAAAAAAAGTTTCTTTCCTTCTTTATTTACTTATTTTTGAGGATTTTGGGGTGTGGAATAAGCAATATTGCGGTGACATTTTCCTCCGATGTGCATAAAAGAATACAACCTCGTCCTCACTTTCAAACCTGCTCATTGGAAGCGAAGTGAAATAAAACTCCCACATAGTTTCCCATTTGTGGAGCCGCTCAAGTCAAATCTGGAGCACCCAAAAAAAAGTTCTCATCCTACTTCATACAAACTAATGACATCATCAATAAAGTTAAAGCGCACTTGGAGTAAAGCCAGATAAAATGACTGATGACAGTCCCGAGTGCTAAAAATTTGAGGCCCTTTTATTAAGAATGACAGTGCCTAATTCACAATATGTGAGCCGTATTGATGCTGTGCAGTTTTACAGACCAGCCGTGATGAGTGGGAATAAATGACTCGTCCTCACGCTTCACAAAGCTCTTGGTTATTTTTCACATTTTTTGACAAACTGACACCTCATTACGCCTGTATCAGTTAACATTAGAACAACAACAGCAAAAACCCTCTACGATTAAAGACCCTTAACTGTGAGTGCACCCTGCCTCACTGTCACAGACATATTAACAATAAAATAAAATAAAAAAACTGTCTAATTGAATTGTGTAGGTGAAATTTATGTTAGTGAACACAGAGGTAAATGTAAGACTCTGGTTGCTTCTGTGTAGTGCGGTGGTGTAAAGGTTGTAAGAGAATGGGCAGAGGGAGGGAGAGAATGCCCCTGAAGCAAAAGATGGGTGGTTTGAAGTCACAGTCGTGGTTGAGGTCAACTTCAAGGTCACTGCAGTGATGCCAGTCTATTTCAATCCTCAGTCTCAGCCCTGGCCCTGTCCCAGCTTCCATCCGAGACGCAGAGGATGGAATGTCACGAAGCTAAATTGCTCTCAGCCTCCATTTGCAGCATCCGTCAGACACTGCCTGGGTTTATTAAGTTCCTTCCAATCCTTTTCACCTTTCAGCAGTCAGGCAGTACTGTCGAAATATCCCTTTGGCTGCATTTACGTGTGTAGGTGTCTGTGCATGTGTGTATGCGTGTGTTGATCTATCGTCCCTTTCACAGAGTTTTCTGATGCCCATTGGCCGAGAGCTTCCCAGATTCAGGGTCTGTGGGGCTGTTTGACAGTTGCAATTTATCCAGACCTGGGCAGTGGGAGATAAGGCAGAAAAATCTCATTAAAAAGCCTCAGACTTTCACTTAGACAGAAGTATTGATGTCCTTTTTCCTCCCTCGGTTCTTCTGTCTGGCATTTTCTAGCCCTATCCCACCCTGTGTATCAAACATGCAGGGCCCGTCACCACAAGCCTTGGGGACTAGTCTCATCTTCTGTCACATGTCAGTTCAGCGACACGCTGGACGTGTCGCTCTATCAGAGAGAAATAAACACCATTTCTCTCCAAAGCTACCAACTAGGTTGGATTTGTCAGCGTCTCAAAATTAGGATTAAATTGAGCAGTCACATACTATCAGACAGACGTAGAACCAACATAGCTGTACTGAGGCACGTGAAAGACTACGCACTGTCCTGTACTATATACTGAAAGCTGCTGGTTAGAAACTTTTAGGATATGTACAGACCCTGTTGATGAATTTACCTAACGCCTTCAGGAGCTCTTCCCGGACCGCTGAGGTGAATTTCCTCACGAGACAAAGTGTTGTCACAACTGCAAACAGCAGGTTGTACGAAAGGACGATGTAAAAGTTTCCCAGCCAATTAAATCTGCCAAAGTCTCCCAAAAGATCAAACCTGGTGATGCCTGTGAAGGACAGAGACACACGCACACACAACTGGGTTACAAATGAGGTTGACATTCATTCAAAAATGTGCAATTTCTTACTCAGAACCGTGACCTTTAATAACTCTTCACACAAAGCTGTGATAACCAAGAGTCGAAATGTTTTCTCCTCAGCTGAATTCCACAAAATAAACAAAACCCTGAGAAAAATGAAGTTCATCTTTCCAAGGCTCCTTCTGACAAGACAAGTATTGTTCATAAGAATTCTTCCTAACAAAAGCAGAAGGCTGCAGCAAACTTATGAGCCTCTTTGAAAATGTCATTCTCCTCAGGCCCATCTTTTTCAAAAAGTAAAAAAAAGAAAGAAAAAAAGAAAATAAAAATCTGAAAAGGGGGCTTATATACAAAAACAATTTAATATGGATTACAGGAATTAATACATTTCTGACTTGTAATAAAAAAAACTACTTGTAATAGCGTTGGTGCACTTTGGGTCTGAGACCAGCCCTGTGTTGTAAGGTGGTACAAAAACAACTACTTCAAGAACTCCACAGATTCACACCACTAGTCTTCACGCATGCAATTCTAATTTCTGTTGACAAATCTGCACATTTCCAAGCAGATTTACGCCCAAATCTGAAAAAATAAATCAATCAATCAAACAAAAACTAACCTACATTAGGTATTTCCACCCTCTTCAATAACCTATTGCGAAGACAGAATGTGCCCACTGAAATCTCAAACACTATGGACAATTCATATTTGTCCAATCTCCCCTGTAAGGTCAACTCGTGAACCTCTAGACCACTTTTAGCACTGCTGCCACACTGCTGTGAATATGTCATCATGACCTTTGTGCATCGTTCGTCTTCAATTTGTCTCCATCGACGGCCACATTAACACAGTTTACGTTAATGAACTGATATTTCAGCTGTGTTTTACCAGTTTGCCACACTGACGGGAATCCAGTGTCCAGTGCAGAGGTATAGTGGTCACATCACGACTTCAGGGAGTGATCTTAAAATCGACCACGCTAAAAGCGATCCGGAGACGGCCTTGAAGGGAGGTCATCCAAATGTACAGCGTGTAAGAATTCTGATTTGGTTTGGACCAAAGCAATTTCACTCAGGCTTGGGTAAACATCCACTGACCCACTGCATGGCAGAGTTGCTGCTTATTTTTATCACTTGGCTGCATCTTGGTTAATGTGAGCACAATTCTCTGAGGAACATAAAAGGATGGCGAGCTAATTATAGCAGCTAAGGTGGCTTGCAGGTGGACTTCATCTCTCCTTCAGACAAAGATAAAGGAGCTCCCTCTTAGCTCTACACTGCCAGACCAATTTCAAACCATCTGTCACAGCTGATCACATGCAGCTTGGAAAGCCATCAACACCCTTTTGTTTTCCTGCTTATCCATCCATGCGTTCATGCACTCTAGCTGCGCCATCCCACAGAGTACTGTGGGGAGATAATTAAGCTTTCAATAACCTGTGTGCACAGATCTGTTTAATGTTATTAAATCATCTTCTCCTATGTTAATTTTGCATGCAACATTGATGAAGGAAATTACTGCATCAATATTTAAAGTCCAAGTACCATAACGGTATCCTGTCCTGCTATCTGTAAGCAGAAATCACATTCTCATGCATCAGACTGAGGAAGCCCTAGTCCCTGGACATTCAACTTCTCCTGTAACATCTTCACAACCTCTGTCATCAATTAGATTGGGCAATCGATTCAGCGTCTGGAGAGATGTATTTACAGCCGCAGTAAGCGGTTTGGCAAGCATCAAGGACCTTTAACAAAATTGCTTGAGAAAAGATGGGGAGAGCGATGATGGAGACCCCAGTCAATACAGCTAGCCACTGTGGTCGGGCTAAATTCATTTCTAATGCCAAAGGTTTTAAACTTGGGTTAGTAATGTGAGAAAATCTAATTGAGGGTTTCAAAAAAAAAAAACCCATTTCAGTCTCTGAAATGTCGGTAGGGAGACGGAGACATTATCATGCTGCTGTTCAGAGCCGTCAGGACGTTACACTGTGTTTCCATCTTCACTCTGACCCTGCCTCAACTCAGCAGAGACCAACATGTCATGCAGAATTTGTCAAAGTTTTAAATATGAATTGGTGCAAAGTAAAACCAAGCCATAACGTCTGGTGATATTACCATTAATCAAGCTGGATTTGATGGTGATGCAGCTTAAAGTGCACAGAGAGAGACATTAAAGTTCACCCAAACATGTGTAACCTGCAGAGGTGGGAGGGGAGGGTGGAGCTGGTTGTGATGTGCATTTGGTGTAACTAAACATTTGTTACTACACTATTAAACATGCTGCGTGCTCTAGCACAATTCCCTTATCTCTTACACAGTGCATATTTACCACCCACCGACATAAAAACGCCTCACGTCAACACACGAAACCCTTTCTTGTCTCTTAACATCTCACTTCGTCACACTCAACTCTTTGCACGTCTTTTTTTATCTTGTGCTGAGCGGCCTTTTCTCTTCAACTCTGTCTCATGCATTTATTCCTTTTCATCCATTCAGTGTCACAAAGCAGAACCTGTTGATATTTTGTAAAGCTCCCAGTGAGTCACTGTATGCTCACTCCATCCTATTTTCCCACTCTGTTGCTCTCACACATACTTGCGCGCGCACACACACACACACACACACACACACACACACACACACACAAAAGTAGTGCTATTTAAACAGCTGTGCTCTGCACTCTGCATGTTTATTAGTGCCATTGTGATGGTGCTACTCCTGTCATTTTTATTCTGCCTGCACTCTTTTCTAACATCACCATGAGAGACTGTAGGAGAATTCAACTCCTGTGACCTGGTGTTGGTGGTAACAATGAAAATTGTTGTGGGAGAGGAAGATTTAATCTTTCTTCTTGTTTGTGCCAAGGACACAATGACAGCTCTGATAAGTCTGTAACCTACATTTCAATCATTCAGTCGTAACACAGCAAAAATACCAGCTTCTGTAAAGCTCACTAATGAGCATGCTATATCTTGTTTCTTTCATTAACAAAGTCTGTTTTTGGGCAGGAATATTTCTTGTCTGTTCTGCATGTTCAGATTATAAAAGGAGATACAGTATGCTGGTCTCAGCCAGGATAACCCTGAAAGAGAGGTTTTGATCTTTTTCAGGTTTTCCTTGATAAACCAGCAGTTGGAACTTTTGCATCGTTCATTTGGTAGTGAGAGTGGACATGCTTATAGCGAGGACAAGCCATAGACCAAAGTTAGTCTGGGAACCCATCAGCTTGCCAATAACTTTGTTCTTTACACACCAGAAACACCAACTGGAATAGAGGATAACTGATACCATGACCAAACGCTGTTCTGTCCACCAGAATGGATCTGGATAATTTAAAAAAAATTTAAAAAAAAGAAGCTAACAGAAAACAAACTGATCTGTAAATGATAGCGGTTTATAGAGATTACACCAATGGGCCTTACTGTCGACCGCTTTCTTTTTTAGACCATTATCCTTTCTCTGAATGCAGAGTTTCTTTTTCCCCCCCTTCCAATCTGTATTTCTATCAGTGCAGTTTACTCTGTCCCTGGTGCTACCTTTTCTGCCCTCTTCAAATCTGGAAAACCAATTGCTGCTGGTTGCACATTGCAAAAGGGTTGGCCTGTTCACAATATTTAAAACTCTGGTATAAATCAAGTTGGATTTTCCCAGCCTTGCATGTCCTCCCAAATTCCAGCTTTGAATCACATAAACTGTAGTGTTGGTTGGTGGATTCTCACTTCTTTCAGACAGAGCAAGGCTAGCCGTTTTGTCCCTTTAACCCTCGATTATACTTTCCACATCCAGGAGTCCGCTTTGGTTCGCTCAGGTCAGAGTGGCAAATTTCATCAGACAGTGAGCGGAAGGGTCCATGCAGATATCCATGTGTCACCACAAACATTGGTCAAGGGAAAATTTATATTACAATGCATCAACTACACATGCACCCTAGGTAGTGGACTTCAAGTACAACAGGAAGAACTACCCAGCTGTCAGTGTCCACAATGGACAATAATCAGGGACTTACATTTTCAAGCTATCAAACTAACAAGCTACAGCTTCATATTTAGTGGGTGGACTTGATCACCCACTATTAATGTTTTCATCTAACTCTAAAAAATGTCCTTTCTTTTTGAAAGTTGTCAAACTGCTGCTATTTAATCATTTAATGTGTCTACAAAAAATTGTCTCTGAATGAAAAAAGAAAAAGCAAGCTGCACTCACTCTCCTTACCGCAGGCAAAAGAAAATACAAAAACACTCACATGAAAAAGCATACTCACCTAGTGTTCTGGACATCACTGGCAAGGCTGAGCTCAGCACCAGGATGGAGACACAGCAACCAATGATCTGCAAATAAGACCAAATAATCAAACCTCCGAGTTTAGCCCTCAACAAATTACATGCAATTTATAGCGAGTGTGAAGCAGAAAAAGCACCCATTGCACCAGCAGTTTTAGCCGTGATGTGCCCACACACATACACGCCACTTGATGATAAATTGGTTCCACATATTATACAATTAGTACCTCTGAAGATGCTCATTATGAGGTTCCTTCTATTGTCCTTTCAAGTCCTTTCACTGAAGCATCATGCTAGTTAACAAGCCTCACCACTCCCAAACTCATTACCAAGTGAATAGTTGCCACCCAGCCCCCTTCTCCCCCTAAGAAAAAAAAAAAAACCTCACTCTCCCTCTGATGTACAAGAAAAGAGCTTGCACTTTGCTGGTGTTTACGCAACTTACAAACAAATATTGAACAGATCAACTAAGGCTATTGAGGGGCCCGGAGGAAAACATTAGTGAGCAGCAGGGACAGAGAAGACAGGAAGGCGAGAGCAATGAAGACAGAAAAAAAAGACAGGGGAAATAGATGAAACACAGGAGGGGGCAAACACATCAGCACCTTAGGAGCAATTTCAGCACCCTTGCCCCCACTTCACCCCACTCCCTGCCTTTCTATCCCATCTTTACCGTTGTCATGGTTGTGTCATCCTTCCTGGGAGTGAGTCCCTCAAAGACACGCAGACTGTAGAAGCCAACGACAGAAGACACCATCAAGTAGCTGTTCAGCAAATCAATCAAGGAGCAAAAACACCTTGCTGCAAGTAGAAAGCAGCTTTTCTTTGAGTCAACTTTTTATGTGTCAAGGCTCAACCTTTTCAGGTATCATAAAGGGTGATGAAACAACGCAACATGTTTTCCGGAAGGTGTTCAGCTCAACTATGTCCTGGGTAAACAAAGCTGCCTTGGCAATGTTGCTGTTGGCCATGGAGCATGTTACTCAGGCCACAGACAAAGGGGAGGTCACTGAAAGGATACAATATGAGGACAATCTCCAGCACTGCCTGAGCCACACCAAATGTGGACAAAGAGGTGTTCCCAATGGCTCGATCCTAGAAGAGAGAGACAAATAGGAAAACAGGGATATTAAACATCCTACACTACCCTTCAGACTAAAACAGATCACAAAAATGACAACACTTGGTGTTGTGTACGACTGCAGACATGAGCAATTACAGAAGACCTGCAAAAGTAAGTACGTGGTGCACGAAGAATTTCCCTACTTGAGAAAGACAGAATCAAATTGGCTAAGTAATGAATGGAACAAGATGAAAGAGGCTCTTTGCAAATCACTGTCGACCATACAATATGTGAACAGGTGTTCAAACAAAAACGGCACATTGCTTACGGTAAGAAGAGTGTACAGGCTGAAAGCATGCCAAAAACATAAAAACAACTAAACAAATCCTTTAGCAAATACACTACGCAAACCCCCTCACCCATCCTCACCCCTCCAACCCCTAAGGCCTTTTGAAAGTGGAGCAGGAAAAAGACATACATCCACATACACAGCACATACCAAGCATCTGAGTTGTCAAATGCCAAATATTTGCTTTTTTCAGACTTGGCACCCAAGACGATCCTCCAGAGGATTTGTACATTTAATGGGGGTATATACACAGTACTTCACACAAAGTTACCTAAAACTCCCCTAAAAGTGTTTGCTGCAAATTCAGATTCTTGCTGATACAATAAACCTATCTTAACAGAGCTGTGCAGCACTAATCCAGTCATTTTATTTATTTATTTTTACTCTAAATCATAGAGTACTGCATGTACAGTTAGAGTACAGAAGTGCAAGGCAAATGTGCTGTTACTCGTCATGCAATATGCACCTACAGCATATTAAACTGCACAGCATATATTTGGTGTGCTGCCGTGGTTTCTGTTTGAGATTTGCATTTGTATTCTTTTTCCCTTTCCCACTTTAAGTGTCTTTATCTTGATTTGTTTTGTAAAACGGGCTGCAGGGGAAAAAAGGAAAGCCTGACAGGTTGTTTCATGCCTTTTTATGCAACTGTCATCCCTGGGAGCTTACTGCAGAGCCATGGTGCAGTGCCCTCTCTCTCTTACACAGAGAATTAGCAGCATTAGCAGACAGAATCTGATGTCATTTATTAATGGAGGGAGGGCATGCATTAAGATGGCGTGTGCACTCGCAATAAGCATGCACGTGTGTACACAGGACACCTAGCTTGTGCTGTGCACCTCCTTTCCATTCGTCTTTACATTCCGGTAGCAGAAAGAGTGACGGATCGTGTGTTACTGTGTGTGAAAGAGCGGGATAGGGGTCCACAGAGGGAAGGGTCTATGTTCCAGTCAACTCACACTGCACATTAAGACTGCATATTGAGGCTGATGAGGCCGTCAATGCCATACATACATCTATACTTCACATTCTTACTTTGTACTAAGTTGTTTTTTTTTTTAAATTGTATTTAATTTGATTTTATTAACACAGCTACACATGCACCCTATGATTAACATATTTCAAGGCAGTCCCGTAAAATATTCTCATATTTTTCATCTTTCGTATAGTCAAAGCCATGTCCTACTCATGTATCCAGTTGCCAACAACCTAATTCCAACCTATAAAAAATCTAAACAAGTGGGAGAAGAAACTGTTCAGATCTCTGAAGTTGCTTGTGCCCATGTAACAACCTTGAAACAGCAACTGCGTTTCAAAGTTTACTTTTACAGTCATACTCATTTAATTTTATTTTATTTACATGGTGCCAAATTTAATAACAGTTGCCTTATAGCACTTTAAATTGTAAGGTAAAGACACTACAGTAATTCAAAGAAATCCTGCCTCCACCCACCCACCCCACTAAGTAGGCACTTTGCAAAAGTGGGAAGGAAAATCTCCCTTTTAACAGGAAGAAGCAGGCTCAGGGAGGGGTGACCATCTGCCGCAACCAGTTGGAGTCTGAGGGGGTTTAAGTGACAGACATTTGCAATCCATACATTTCAACGAAATATGAGAGGCTGCTGTCATTTAATCTTACAGAATTTCTGAAATGTAAATATTAAATATACATATAATAAGCAACAAGCAAAGACTTGATATTCACATACATTTCCAGATTTTTAGATAATCTTAAAGCCAGTTATAAAGTGAAAAGGGTGTCTGGAGATGGGAGGTCAAGTTGTTAAATACATGCAAGGATAAATGCGTTTGTATGTCCTCTCTGTGCCTATGTGGACTCTCTCCAGGTACTCTGGCTTCCTCCCACAGTCCAAACACATGCATGTTGGGCTAACTGATAATTCTAAACTGGCTGCAGGTATTCATGTAAGCGTGAACTGTTGTCTCTCTCTACGCAGTCGCACCGCGACAGACTGGTGACTAGTTTTAGGTGTATTCTGCCTTTTGCCCCACAACAGCTGGGACTAGCATGACCCGGATCTGGACAGGCAGAAGATGGGTGGATGGATGCAAGCCTTTGTGCATTTGGACAAGGGCAACTTTAGTTGGGTGAAAATTACTGTCCAGCCACAGTAATTGCCTGTTTTGCAAAATAGAGTGTCAAGTGCAGTGGCCACCAAAAAGAAGGGCCTGTAGTAACAGTTTTATTGGTGTCTCCAAGTGCTTGTTCATAAAGCTGTAAATCCCTCTGTCCTATGACAGAGGCAGTGCCAACTTCTCATCTATAGCCACCTGCGTTTCCTCTCTGCTCGTCATCCTTTTCTTTCCCTACTCCTTGTTATCCTTCTCTATACCCATCCACTGCCCTGTAAAGCTGAGCGGTACACTGCTCAGTATTCTCAAGACTACAGCAGGATGCTTAGCTGGAAGGGAAGACAAACACTGACAGGGCACTTCTATTGTGCTCTACTCCCATAACAATCAGGGCCTCATTTGACTTTCCCACAGTCTGAGTCTCTCTTGCTCTGGCAGTACCTTGCCGAGATGTCAAACCTCTCTCTCCCCTCTTATATCACATTCTCTCCTCTGTCGTTATCTTTTTCCAGACAGAGGGCAGAGGGAATTTCTGTGCCAGAGGGGCACAGTCTGAGAGTTAGAGGATAAGGTTAAAGAAGCATGATAGATGATCTCATATCAGTATTGATTGTTTTAGGAAGATGAGATGGCCCCTCCTGCTCGTAGATTTGTGAGATCAGAGGTGTGGCATCCATCCAGCTCAACATAAAGCATAAACCATTTAGTGAGGCCATACTGTCAGGGAGGACAGCTTCAAGCTACATGACAAGTGTAATTTGGGGGATTTTCTGCAATGTGTCATGCCAAAGAAAACATCTCTGCTCAATAAAATAATTGGAATGTCGAGGGCAGCTCTGTCAGATGCCCGCGAGATGCAAAATGAAATGAGGGAGAAATAGGATACATTATGTTGCCCCTTTTCAGACAAGAATGCAACCACAACTGCACACACATGCAAGCACACACATGCACGCATCTCTGTCACTGCAGATGAGATGAGATACAAGGAGCTTAAAACACATTGCATGTTAGGCAGAGATGAGAATCTCAGAGCCATTCCACACTTGGTGGAATGGCTGTTTCACAGTAAGAGCCCTTCACTTGCCCCCGTCTGCATTTGCACAAGGGAGGAAAAGCAGCTTATTCACCCACTGAGGGCAGGAGACACATAGCAACCTCATTGAATTTGCACACTGCTGTGAAATGACTTTGAATGAGCTTCCAAAACAAAACCAGAGCCACAACGTTGAAGCCTGATTAACATCTGGTCCAGTCTTTTCTTCCAACGTGCACCTGAGCATATCTGGAATTTGATTTATGTCTCCGCCAGGGACAGGGCAGGCCCGATAGGCAAGCCCTACTGCAGTTTACATTCTAGGTGTGTGATGGTGTGAACGCAAAAGCCTAGTTAGACAGAAGGCTTACTGTGGATCCCTTGGGCATGGCAGTCTCATCTACTAGAAGATAGAGGATGTTCAGTGCCACCAGAAGAACAGAGATTGTCTGCAGACATAGAGGAAGACAAAAATTTGTTCACACATGGTATAATTATAAAAAGATTGATCAAATCCTCCAAGTATCCGGCATCATGATATAATTGAATGCATAATAACAATCTTGTAACTGTAAACTGTGCCAAAATTGAGCTTCTCAAAACTTAAACAATTTGGGGGTTGTGCGATGCACGTGCCCTGCCTTGCACATGGCCTTTCTACCTTATCTAACAGTATCAGACGACAAACAGTATTCACACACTGTAATTTATTTAAAATCACTGTTGTTGTAGGTTGGTATTCAGCATTGTCTTAAAACATCCATTAAACAAAAGTAGTTTCCCCACCCAGACTCTGTGGGAAAAGATGGATTTTGAGGTACCGTGTTACTCCCAGTGGATACCAGCCAGGCTGTAAACGTCATGAGCAAACAGTGTGGGCCTAATGATAGGTCCATCTTAACACTCACCGTTCCTGTGAGCAGGATCAGCATCACTATGGGATACAACAAGTTCTTCTCCCATCCCGATGCCTTCTTTCTTCTCTCTGTGAGGACATGAAAGTGCAACAAAGAGTGAGTTTATTTATTTTAAGAAATGTATGTACGATGAACTAAACTCCTCCATTACACTTTCCACTACTTGTTAATTAATCAGCTCATCAAAGAACCTACTGCAACCACAAGCCCTCTGGCTTTATTTACAGGGTTTGTACCGCTTTGTTTAGTAAAACATATCGCGAGTGTGTGGGCTGAGCACAATCTCAGCTCTCATCGCAACCGCCCCACCTGCAGGTAATATACATTTCATAACCTTCAAAAATTACACTCTTCCTCTGTAATTAGCCACACTCATCATTGCCTTAATTAATGGAAAAAAATAATAACTCCTGGATGAAAAGAAATGCTACAAAATTAATTTTATGATTTATATTTAGGAGAAAATACGTATGCATGTGCTGGGCGACTTATGCCTCTCATTCTTCTAAGCCAGATGAAACATTTCAGCTTTATATGTACCTTGTATTTCAACGCCTCATTCATCATGTTTATAGACTTTGCTGACAGCCCATGGACCACAGGCACTATGTCTTACAGACATCAACTGTCCTCTTACAATGTGTATTTGACTGCCCTTTAGTATTTGCTATTTTGACTTCTTTCTCCATTTCCAACCTTGTTACTCCTCCTTATTCTCAAAGTGCATCCACCCAGCCTGCCCAAGAAGTTTGCCAAGTGCACTTTATATGCACCATCCTTCTAAATTAATGACATCACTAAAAGGCTTGGTACAATATAAAGTTTGCATCTTGTCCAATATCCTAAGTGCCTTTGTGCTCTCCTACCCCTCCTACCCTGCTCCCCAAAAGGCTCAGGCTTCATTTATAATATCCTAAAATGGATGGGAAATTATCAGGCAGTTCTGGTCCAAGTCCAAATTAAGAAATTAAGGCAGATGAAGAGAAAGCGGCTGCCTGTCAGCAATATGCAAAAAGCTAAGCTAACGTCTGTGGCATATATCTCCGAGATGCAAAACAGAAAATGAAGAGAAATGATGCATATCATTTAAGGAATAAAACCAAGGGAACAGAAATAATAATAATTTAAAAAAAAAAAAAACAACTCAAATGAAAGGCAGCGAGAGAGACAGCGAGAGAGTATAAAAACTACCACACACATACTTACCCAATTTATTCCTCTGATTTCTAATATTGTCCAGTTCTTTGTTGAGCTGGTGAGCAAAGCTCCCTCTGGTATAAGCGTGTGTGGAAGACCCTGTGAAAATAAAAATATTCAAAATGTCTGAAACGTGCTGTATGAGCACATGTTGTGTAGGGATAATATAGAGCTATGTTTCTTCTCTTAAAATTTTTTATTTCACAGAAGACAAAGAAAAAAAAACAATGCCCCTTTTGAAAGGTTTGGCTTTTTTGCTTTGTTAAAACAACCTAAATGACTATCAACAGCAAAAATAACTCACTGTTTTTGTTGCAGCTATAATGTTGTTTAAACAGAAACAAAGCTCCTCTTTTGGACACCATAACTTGGAAAAAAAAAAAAACTTCTCTTTTTTTTTTTAAACTTCCCTTAAATACTTAAATAGACGGAGAGGATGTTAACCTCTCCCTGTATTCATCCTACCTCAGCATATGGTATTTGACTTGTCTTTATTAAGCAATCCCATCAAAACAAGTAATCCTGCACAGAAAATAACAACGTGATCTCAAACAAGTAAAAATAATCTCTTGTGTCAGGAGCTGTCTAGCACATGCCACAACTGGTTGAGTGGGCTGGATAAGACAGCAAGGGATTCTCCAGGAAAACCACAAGGCCAGCTCATTTAAGTCTAATTTATCTATTTTACTCTGTTTTCCTTCCAGCTTGACGCACTATCACAGAGGCCCCTCGAAGCCAAAGTGGAAGAGTATCCATTTGCATCCCTCGGGTGATTGGCAGATCAAGACCAATTAGTTCAGTGTTACACCGTTACTAACGTGCAATAAAAATACCATCTTTCATCTTTGTTACAGGAGTGAAGGACCAATCACTTTGATCAGACCTTCTTCTTCCCTCTGTTATTATGTCACGCCCTGTCTGGATGGGTTTAAGTAGGTAAAAGAGGGTGAGATAGACGCAGAGGTGGAGAGTTAGCAGTCTATGCCCGTCTAAGGATCTGAGCAAGGGAAAGTTTGAACCCTCCAAGCAAATACGCTCAGAACACAACAGGAAATGTCATAGATAGTTCATAAATAGTTTTCTTTTTTCCAGAGACAAACTGAACACTTTGCCTCGGGGGAGCCAAATCTGTTCAGCTGCAAGTGAACTTATCCTTTACCTACGTGCACTGCGTATTTGAACAAGGCCTGACGCATCACTGGCACATATAAATCCTTGCTTAAATTAAAAAAAAAAAAAAAAAAAGAAGTTTGTGTGGGGTTTTTTTTTCTTTTTTAAAACCATCCATCCAAAACAATACTTTACACTGAAAACAAAGGACAATAAAATCGATTGTTCAAAGCAGAGAAAGGGAAATGCTTAGATTTTCAACTGCAGTATCTTCAATGACATCACAGCAAACCGAAGTTAAATATATCCTTCTACTCCTTCTGCTGGCAGCGTCAAGTATAAGACTGAGTTACAGCAAGGCAGAGATGCTGAGTGGGGCTTCTGGCAGTCAGGAAGGCCTGGAGTAATTCAACATATCCTCTCCAACCTTCTCCACAGTCAAAATTACGTCATTCACAAATATGCTAAACACCATGCTGAGACAACAGAGGCACTGGCAAGGTCACTGTGCCGCATAGCATCTGGACGAGTGCTCTGTTTTCAGCACATCAGGGTGGTGAGAGGGCAGTCTGTACAAGTGTGTGCATCGCTTTGCCTGTATTGCAGTATATTTATGTGTGCCTGGTGCTGTTTTAATATATTCTGTTCTTCACTATGAAACTACTGAAACAGTATATAAACTGGTCCTTGTAAACTTTGACAAGCACAAATACAAGTTTTTTTTAGCCTCTCACACATCTACCATGTGTATGGAGACCTGCAACATCTGGCAGTACAAAGGACAGTTTAGGATTATGAAGCAACAGAAGTGAAAGGCTTGTTATGGAACTAAAAACTGAATCAAGTTACTTTCTGTAACTGAGGCAATGCAATCAATAGTGTCAACAGGACGTTTTATATTTGCTGTGTCTCTCTGACATCATAAAAAACCCCAAACATTTATTTCTGATACAATGCACCATTATTCTTGAACCTTAGTTCACATTGGCTGCACATAGCAGCCATCACTAGGTGCTCCTTTTGAAGCAATGTTGATGGATCTACAGCTTTGACTTCTATATCTGGAATCTGAGAAAACTATTGTGAAAACACAGTGTACAGGAATTAAGATATAAAGACCACTGTAATTTCTGCTTTAGCACAACAGTAGCAACAGTGATGATAGAGACGAACAAGGACTTTGTTAGGAATTCAACTTTTTGAATGTCAACTTCTTGAAACCCATCTATTAGTTTTTGGGGCTTTTTTTTTTTGGTTATAAATGGAATAGTTAAAAAGCCCATCAAAGAAAACACAGATTACTGGTGACAACATTGGATCTGCCACTCCCACAGACTTTATCATTGGGGTTTGCATACAGAGATAAACGAGTGGAGTATTAAAGTCAGTATCTCTTGCTTTGCTCTGACCTTTTTTTCTTTAAAGTTTGAACATAGAGAAAGTTGAAGAGCAGCGAGAGGAATCGCAGGCTGACTCCATCCTGACTTCTGTGTCACCAGACTACTTGTGCAGTTGGGATAAATTCATCACCCTGTATATACATTTAAAAGCAAAATAGTAGGGGTGCCACAATGCGTTATTACTTGTAACAATTGCCAAGCACCATCCATCTTTTATCTGGACATTCTCCTTTTAGGTTCATTACGCTTGTTACAAGAAAAGCAGACACACATTGCTAATGAGCCGGTTTAAACCACAATGTCGTGATCAGCAACACATAAACTACCAACATGTCATTACAAATGGGCAATTTCATGCCACAGGAGGACAACAAAGGACCAGACATGTAAATAAACATGAATGCATCAACTGATTAGGCTCAACAGTCCACATCTACAAACACAAACTTTCTAAGATGATAATTTATTAGAGAGGCCTGATGCAAAGCGGACACCGGTGAAGCAAGAAGACAACATTGCTCGTCTTTGGAGTGTGTCCCGTGAACCGTTCCTGACCTGCTCTCTACTTAATGCCCTGAGCAGATCAAAGGAACCACGCTTAGACGTTCAGTTGCACCTAACTATGACCATGAACAATGAGTATTTGCATGTGCACATACTTGCATGCATATTGTATCTGCATAAAAACATTATGTCTGATAAGCAACGCTTTAAGCTTCACTGAACATTCCCCTTGCTTCTCTCTCCAATTCCCACCTCTCTAACAGACAAAAATGAACTGCAGCTTGTCCTTGGTACACATACTGGGATGTTGACCACTGTTGTTTGGTTTTTTTTTTTTTTGCCCCACCGTGACGTGTAAAGATCAAACAGTCCTGGAGATGATAAGGAACAGATTACAATTATTCTATCAGGTAGTTCAAAGCAGGGCACTGAGGAATGAGCCCTAAGAAACTGTACGCATTGGTGGCACTCTATGGAGGTGGCCGGCAAAGCGTTCAAAAACATGTGTTATCTAGGAGTGATCTCGCTTACCTCCCGGGTTTAAAAGGACACTCCTTTCTGTTCATTTACTCACATCTGTACACTTGGTTGCGTGCTTGAGTTAATATTAAAGTAGGTTTTGGAAACTGGCCGAAATACTTCCTGCTTTTTTTAAGATTATTTAACGTCAAACAAGGAATTTGGGAACACAGAGAACTGGACGTGAAAAGGAAATGCAGGCTAAAAAAATATAACATCTTCAACATTCTTCAACACTTCAAACTTTCCCTAAAAAAGCAGCACAAGGCTCCCGGTGTCCTCTCAGAAGAGTTATGGCTCTTTAATGTCTACAGCACCAAACCCTTTCGTGAAAAATTTCATTTCCATCCTATTAAACAGGCTGCCATTCGAGGCCTGACATTAAATGTGGCAATCATTTCACCAATAATGGCAGCGGCAGTGGATTTTCTTAAGTGGATTCTTAAGAAAAACTTCCTAAACAAAATATGGTCCTTGCCATAGTGGCTGCTTTGACCTTAAGCAGAAAGTTATGAGAGTGTGACGGTGTCAGGGAAAAGCCAGTGACAAGTGTGTGTGAATTTTGTGAATGTCTGTGTGTGTCTGTGTGCCTAGCTGAATTTTCAATGCTAATTGATTCCAGCGTGGCCTACTCCATCACACCCAATAGGGCAGTCAACCCCTCCCCTCCCCTATAATGTGCCAACACGTCTCCCACAGACATACCGTTTAATCTCCTCTGAAGGGTTTCCTCCTGCAAATGGATGCAGTAAATCTGCTCATCCAGGTCCTCAAGGATCTAAAGGGGAGAGAGCAGAGTAGGAAGAGATGAAATGGGTTATAATTAGGCCCGAAGTGGGACTGGAGCAGTGGCAGATGGGAAGATGAGTTGGTGATGTATTTGTAGTCCTCTGTTGTGATTTTAAATGGCTAAATGAGACATCTTTCAGACAAGAAGAGCAGACTCAAGTCTGTCTGTAGAGACATTTTTTTAAAGAAATCTGAACAACAACTGTTTAATAAACTCTTTTCCATCGACTCAACTTTTAGAAATGCAGTAAATACTTCATCCAAGTGATTACTTACTGTCGGCTTCACTAGCAACTGGCCCATGACGGTAAACATCCTGGACAACCCCACAGGAGTGCACACTACACAGGAGACAGGACAATATGGTCAATTTGTTTAAATATAATAAAGGCATGTTTCCACATATAGGGTCTGGAACTTTTAGTTCAAACTTTTCAGAGGAAGTATAAGAAGTATCCTTTAGACAGTTGATTGTCCACAGTGGACACCAGGCGGCGACTCCTATGGTTACAAAAACACTTTCAGTTGTGCACAAGTGTAAAAGAACAAAGCCCTCAGCTTTCCCTTCAGTAACACTTCACTAATGCTCCTCTCTGAGGAGTTCATGTCAATAGATTTGGTTCATACTGAGTGAAGCACATTCTAAGTTCTAAATTATCCAGGGTATGCTCAACTTGGCCATCAGAAGAGGGCCACCCCCATGCCTATCACATTCAAAACACCAAGTGGGCGATAGTGAAAATCCTCAACTCGAGGCTTTGAGTTATAAACCTGTGAACCAAGTTAACAGGAGTTTATACCCAAAAATAACATAAAACCTGCCTAGCCTATAAGGGTGCTGAAACCATGGTGGAAAGACAGAGCTTTGAGGTTTTCTTGTTTGTTCAGAAAGGTTTCTCGGACTCAAAGTTTTAGGTACTTTGAGGGAAAACACTGCTCATAGAGATACATTTTCTATTTGCATCATTTCGTAAAATTATAAACACACTTACTTAGTAAAAGGAGTCCTCCCATCAGAGAAATACAGGAATAGAGGTATGGCAGGTAGAACTCCCAAAGATCTACAAAATATGTAGACTTTTAGTAAAAATGAAACTTAGGAACAGCTCAACACTTTGGAACAAGCCAAGATGTGTGTTCATTGGAGTTTTAGAGCTGCTAGAAATCTGATTTCCTTCCTAAACAAACTCTCAGCCTAGATTCATAGTTAATGCACAGTCAGATTGTTAAAAGATAAAACTATTCCTTTATTTAAAAAACAAAAACAATGGGTTTAAAATGACCAATCATGTAGAATATTACAAAAATCATACCATAGAGTGACTCCATACTGGCTACATCATTATCAATGAGGGCTGATGCCACCCACACAATTCCAAGAATGAGCAATGCCAGGAGAAAGAGCATCACAAAGGTCTCCAAAATGCGTGCTTTAATGCCCTGACAGGAAAAAAAGCAGGAATAAGAGAGAAAATTATTTCAATTAAAATAATGCATATAAAATCATAATGATGATACACAAAAGTTATATTATCAACCATGTCAAATTTTTACGTTTACATATACTGGCCATTACAAAACAACAAAATTCACACAGGACCCAAATTCCCAGAGTTTTAGAAATATTAAATTTAGATTTAGTCAGTCTTAACTAAAACATTATTTAGTTTTAGTCATGGTTTAGGCCTCAAAATTCTTATATTTTAGTGAACTAAATATCTTAAGATTATTTTAGACTAAATCTAAAGTATAAAGTGCAAAAGTTTGTTTTATTTTTATTGGTGAGAGTTGCTCTATGTGGTTTACAAAGTGTCTTATTTTCCTCAACATCAAATGTGAAATGTGTCCATATGTCTACTATTCTCTTCCTCCCATGCACGGGACCATGCATGTTGGCGACTGATCAAATTGTGCACATTTAACCTGACTGCACGATTACTTCTGATTACTTCCAAACTCGTCCCGCCTTTCTACACACATTGATTAAATCTGATTGGACCTTGTCTCTCCATTTTCATCTCGTTTTCAATTCGTCAACTTAAGTGTGAATACATTTCATCATAGTTTGTCCTAGAGCATTACTTTTTTTATGTAGTTGTTTTCGTTAAAAGAAAAAAAAAAAAAAGTTGTTGACAGAAACTATACAAAAATTTATAAGTCAACAAAACAAACACTGGTGCTTACAAAATATTTTCGTGGGATGTGCGTTTTTGAGCACACAAAAGGGCACAAACATGTCTCAAAGCTGACAGAGTGCTTCCACTTAGTGAAAAGGTGAAAGACAGAAGATGTGTCAGAAAAACATCAGAAGGTAATTTGCCAGAACGAGTTGGTAAAAAAAAAAATGTTGGAGAGAGATGACAAATCTGTCAAATATGGTCTTGGTTCCGTTATGGCTATGACTGCTAACTGAACTGGCACGTTGGCATTTGATGACTTTATTCTTCTCTGGAGAAACAGGATTGATGCAGGGGTATGAAGAAACCTTCTGTGTGCTCTGATTCAGCCAAAAGCACCAATCAATCAATGGACAACATTTCAATATCAGCAGCATAACACAGCTAAACATGCAACCAAAACATCAGCATGAGCTACACCTGCTGAGGACCACACTAAAACCGGGGAGCTCAGAAAACTACAAGATAATATTCAACATAATGCTTTGTTTGACCTTATATGTACCATGTAGTACTGTCTCCCACATATTTCTATTTTGCTATAACCCACCTCTAAATGAAGCACTAATATGGTTCTCGTTAATTCAAGCAGAACATCTGTAAAACAAATCTGTATAAGTGTTCAAATACTTTGTATAGTCAGGAATGAACTTTAAAGGAGCTAGAAGTGCTGTTTCCTACATTTCATATTGAACTGAACATGATTACTTTTACAGGAAACCTCACTTCCGCCCCTTCTCCTTCACTTAAACTAAACAGCATCATTTCCATTCACTCCACACAAACATAACATAAACGCTCTCATCCACTCCTCTGTAAAACAGCTCGTTTATATACACATATTGTGGTCTATAAAAATGGGTCCAACCAGGGATGGTGGTAGTAGAGGTAAAATTAAAAAGAGGAGGGAGGAGGGGAGGGGTTCCTGGGGTGTTGCAAGGAGCATGAAGCCTGGCTGGGTCAGCTACTGTCTGCGATCAAGAGCAGACCTCCCATCTGGAGCCGATTAGGAGCTCCCTTAGCACCACAGTCATGTCTCAGGCCGTGCAGAAGAGAGGGTTTGGGGTAATTTGGGTTTTCCGGGTCACAAACTGCTGAGTGGTTAATAAAGTCCTCCTGTACCTGTTCACACACAGTTTCCATAACCTCCCACCCCCGAGAGCTGAACTGTCTAGCACTGTAAGACAGATTGGTACTCTCAAACGTCAGCTTAGGCTACCGTGCATGGGATAACAAGGGCTCTCTGCTTTTGAGCATTGTTTAAATTAGGTACATACGAGTAATTTGTTACCAGCTAACATAATGGCTGTGTGGGTGCTGTTCAGTATTTGCCAACAGGTACACTCGCTGTGTGGCTGCTGTTCAGTATTTGTCAACAGCTACATGGAAGTCCATGAATAATAACGAAGCCTATTTAAAGAGTGGAAATGGCTTTAATTCTTGAGATTAATTTTGGTTTTTTTAAATGGGGGGCAGAGTTATTAGTTCCTCACAGTTCCACACACCTGACCTTCAGCATCTGCATTTTAAAGTGGAAACACTTTAACATTCCCTTACTACCCACTCTACAGCTCAATGTGCAAATATGCATTAGTCAGATAGTCAATATTCGTATTTAATATTTAATAAATGTGATCCCTACACTTTGCTACCAACCTACTCAGTATATATTTACTATAGTAATGTAAGGAAGGAAGTTTCTTTCTAAGATTTCATTAATTTTCTGTAGTAAAAATCCCCTGTAGCATCCCTTTGCAATTACTGAGAAATGACTCCCGCTTCTCGCCTTCTCTTGCGGTGTTATTCTGGAAAAGCCTCTGGGGTCAGTGTAGAATTTTCTAGCATGGCAGAGAGTGAAATGGGCAGGGTCTGGAGTGCCTCAGTGTGGCCGAAGTGGACACTGCAGCCACAGGTAACGTTAGAGGGGGTGGGACCTTTAGTCAGCACGAAATAAGTGCTATGGAAAAATACAGAGCCTTAATAGAGACATCATGGTGGTGACATAAGTGAACTACGCATGCCTTTCTGTTGTGATATTTAGCAATGAATTTATCAGTCAATTGAAATTAATAGGCTACAATTACAGTAACAAGCTGACATAAGCACACATTTTGCTGACCTTCTAATGCTCAGTGTCTGCACGTTATATCGATGTTGCAATCAAGCACATCACAGATCAGCTCAACTGTGCAGTCGGGAGCACGCTAAACACAGCTGAATAGAAAAGATGGAGGAGATGGAAGAGAGAGAGAGACTGGTGGAGGAGAGGAGTCAACGTCTGAGCATATCGCGTTCCCTAGAGGTAAGAGAGGTGAGAGAGGAATGCTTTCAGGGACTTCAGCCACGTCCCTCACGTGGTCTCTTAAGGATGCATAAGAACAAGCAGAAACCACAGGCAGGACGTGTGTCCGCTCAAGCGCACCAGTCCACCTTAACAAGATGTCCAGGCCATGCTGAAGGTGTATTCCCTTTAGATGTCTCTCAATCATTTATAAGACTCAAATCATTACCCATTCAGATCATTTAGGGCAAAGGCAATGCTTGTCACCTCGCTTACTATCACCCCTGGTTCTTGCTTCGCAGGAAGAACGATCCACTGTGTCAAAACCGATTTGGGGGGTCAAGAGAACGGGGGACACTGAAAGTGACTGATTTGAATGGTTTTATTGATCCATTTACATGCATGATATAGCACAGTGAAAGTTCTGCTTATGATCACACATTCTTGCAAGGAAAAATGTAGCCCTTTGCACCTCATCGCAAAATATGTGGTTTAAAAATAGGAAAATCCAAGTCAGTCATCATCAGTGATCAAAGAAAACTGTCAACTGGTGAAGGAAGGGTGGAAAAAAAAGAAAAAGACTGCGCCTTGGCATCTAGAGTGCCCGTTGAAAGTTTCTATTCTTGCCTTTCTAAATGTGTAACTACCTCTAAATATAGCAGCTCTGAAATATTCAGCATCCCCCGATCCTCACACTGACATCGAGTGAGGGGCTGCAACTTTGCTTGTACAAGACAAGGGAGATTTTCTAAGAAATGTGCGTAGTGGCCAGAGAGGAAAGTAATCACTTCATATGCGGCAGCAAACAAACATGCATGGATTGATCTACCCACACACACAGAAACACACAATCAGACAAGTTCATCTTTCTCCCAATCCACCCAGTCACACAAAGCTACAGAGGGCTTTGGAAATAGTTCACAAGCTTGTTGCCTGGTGTATTCTGCAGACAAACTAAAGCCAATCTTTCATGACCCGTTTCCACTTCCAAGTAAAATCAAGTTGCAATCAAACACAGGACGAAACTAAGTTGGCACAGGCGTTTCCTAGTCGCTGTGATCATTCCATAACAGGTCAGCAGGTGATGGCAGAGATCATCCAACGGACCATCCTTCTGCTCACTGTCAGGGACGTGTGCAACAAGGGCCAAGAGTGTAATAAGTGAGGAAGGGGGCAGGGTCCTTTTCACTTCCAAGCAAAAAGACCTGCCCTCTTTGCTAAAGACATGCCAGATGCTCAGGGACCTTATTAGCGTATCCTTCAACCAGTCGGTAGCAGCGCAATGACCGTGTCAAAGACAGAAAGCAGAGGAGAGGGACACTGCCCTGTAAAGCTGCGCAATCAACTTCTAAGGACTCCTAAGACTTCTTAATAAACAGGGCAGAAGGGAAATGGCTGGTGTCAAGTCATATCATTCAAACCACAGTGAAGCAGCTTATCTGTTTGAGTACAGATGCTTAAGAAAACAGAATCATTTTAATGAATAACATAGCTTTCAGTTGTTTGTCAAGTCTCCCTCTCCCTTTTGTTTTTTTTTGTTTTTTTTTAATCATCCTATTGTGGCAGCACCTTGTGATTATATAAAATCCTTATATTAATAAGAATTCAAATAGATGGCTGCTTCCTGGGTTTTGTTAAGCGGAAAGTAGGGACCAAGCACACCTAATAACACATAATACTCTACCTAACTTAACCCACAGTGCAAATAAAGCTGTGTAACCAAGTCAACGTGAGTTACAGATTACTTTAAAATCTTCAAAAACAGCTACAAAATCAGCAGAGACTCAGTTTTGTTTCAGAACTTTGCATTTAGATTTGAAAAACTGAGTCACGAGAGGAGGGGAAAATCTCGCTTGCTCGTTTTTACAATTCCTAGCTCAAGCTAATATGTCGCCATGGTAACGAACATTGTAACAGGCAGCTTTCGGGAGACATTGTGACCTTAAAGGAAGGTATGTAAACACCACTTTATATTCCCCGGCTGGCCCTACCCAAAAGAAGGCCTGGGAAAAATGTCTGCATGTGCAGGAGATTTGAAATAAATATCCAGGCCCCTATTGTGGAGCTCCAACAAAGACGAGTATCTTAGTAACACCACACGGGTTTACTCGGCGAGACGTTTTCTCTTTCCCCTCCTCCTCCTCCTCCACAATAAACACACTTCTCATCATCGGCGGGTTAGGGCTTAGGATGAGATTGATGAGGAGTTTCTTTAACTACCAGATGAAACCTGTTGGCCCTTTGCTGGGTCAGTCAGGGGGTCAGACTCGTTCCAACTCGTTTGAGGATCAAACACATTTCAATACTGTGGGGAAGACCAAAAGACTATTCTCTGCAAAGCACGAGTTCCTGTACAAATCCTGTTTCACAGACTTTATGCATGCTTTAATAATTGTCACTTATTTTGGTTGAAATAGAACAGGAAGTTGTCACCATCAAAACCCTTACCCTTGATTTCACTGTTTTTGAGTAAATATAGCGCTGAGATATCACACTCATCAATTCTATCTATTAATGTGATTACATTTCCTTGATATAAATAGAAGACTGACTAAAGGTTTATGTTGATATCTTCAGTCTTTGTTACAGCATACTGATCATCTCAATAAGGATGACATGTATGGTTCTCATCATTACAATGCCACCTATTGGTGGTGTGGAGACAAGTAACAGAGAGACAATAATGGCAATTTTCTTTTTTTATTTATCTAAATTCCTTTGCTAATGCTGCAAAAAAGAAAAAGTGGACAATATTTGATAAGTACATCACCAACAATGTAGTATCTCAATTTCTAAATATGATCAGAACCTAAAAACAAACTAAACAACAACCTTTACTTGCCTCAGTGATGCAGCTCTTCTGCAAAGATTTGAGAACACAGCAGTAAAGCGGTAGACATTTTACAGCAGCAAATAAAGCTAAATCATAACATCTGACATCAAAACCTTAAGTCGCTCTTGATTCATCCACAATTTGGACAATTTGTTAAACTATCAATCATTCAGGTGACAGAGCCTCTAAAGAGTTGAACATTAAAAAACAACAACATTTAAAAAAAAAAAAAAAACATCTTTAATCTGTTGGCGTCTTTTAGTACATCGTCAAAAGTAAACACAGCCACATGAAAAGGCTGACTTACGACGTTAGAAGTGAAATTCATCATTCACTTCATTTCCGCACTCAAAGGGAACTCGCAGTGCTATAACATTAGCCCAGTGGGTTAAAATGCCACATAAAACCTTATGGCATAGCAGTCTAATGCTGTTATTGGATAAAGGGATAATATCACATTATAAAAACACAGATCTGCTTTTACATTTATCTTGCCGTCGGCTGTATAATTCACTCTGCAGGCAGCTCGGGCTTTTTGTTTTGTTTTTTTGGAGGGCGATTAAATGGAGGAGTGGGTATATCATTTCCACCCTTGCCTTAGCACAGAACCAACAAAATATATACCTGGAAGTGCAGCTCAACACTGAACAGTACTTCCTCTAGGCACATTTATAGAAGCTGTATTGCAAGAAACAGTCTTGCTGAAATGAAAAAGAACAAAAGGGAGAAATGTGAAAGAGGCCCTCATCCTGCTTCCTACACATCAGGGCTTGCCCTCTACTGAAGAAATCCAACCGAAACAAATTAGTGGGCTGAGGAAGAAAAGAACTCGCTATACACTACAGTACAAACTAATTTTTATGTGCTTTTGCCAGGAGGGACATAAACCAGAGAGGTTTCAAACTGTGACACAGGATAGAGGCGTATTAAAAGTAAATCTTTGGCCCTCCATTTTGCAAGGCTCTATTGTGCTGTCATGTTGCTGCGACTTTATGGACGTTTGGAACACGAGCCCCCAGCCCATTTTTTGGGGGGGGTAATCAATTAAACAAGGAAGTTCGCTGAGCCTTACAACTCGATTATTAGCTTGTCCTTTTGAAGTTTTATTTTAGGGGGCTGGGGAGGAGGTGACAAGGAATCAGGCTTTAAATCAGTGGGGCCGATGCAGCAGTGTTGAAGCGTTTGCAGCCTATGGCCATATTGAAAGGGTTTGTCAGGATGTGGCACTGGGTGAAGACCAGATTCAGACTTTCATGGTTAATGAGCTTTTTGCGGTGGCAGTTACGGTCAGTGGCATGAGTCAGGGAGAGGGCAAGCACTAAGCACCTGCTGCTGCTCTGGTTGCTAAGAGAAAACCTCTTGCATAGGTATTAGAGCATTCAAATACATAACAGCCTAGAGTACAGTACCACACAAAATTTTACTATGAACTGTTTTTAATGACTTCCAAGTTTGTTTGTTTTTTTTTTAAACCAAAAAAAATTGTCCAAATAATTTTTTGTAATGAAATTCTACCTTGTCCATAATTTTTTAAAGGCATCAATAAACATGTATTACAAAAAAAAAAAAAATTGATATGCTGCTAACAGAGATTTAGAACAGTTGGATAGGTTGGCAACTTTTTTCTCATTTTTAGATAAAGACCCATAGTTTGTACCTTTTTCGATCCTGCAAATCCCTCAGACTCCAAAAAGAAATAGGCAAATGGCATCAGGACGAAGAGGCAAAGATTGGAGAACAGTGACACCAGGTTCCACAGACCTGCAGTAACCAAACAGACATATACAGAGACAATATATTATTAAAAAAATGTTTCATTATGAAGGGGACATGTGCCAAAGATTCATTCACAGAGTTTCCTAAATTGCAATTTAAGTTAAGACAGTTTTGTCTGTTGAGTGCCCTTTTGGCAGTTTCTAAGTCATGGACTCTACTGCCACCTGGTGGATACTTGAACATCAAACAGCCTTAACAGAAGCAGGTAATTAGCACTGGCAGTGCAAATAAATAATTCTCAATCTCAAATGGTTTAAGGGGAAAAACAAACTGGCTTCTTTCATTTGTTAGCACCCCATCTGGTGACACATCTATTCTTTTTTTTTTGTATAGCAAAGTCATGTTTCAACAAATACAAAGTTTCTCAACAGTCATAGGAAGCAAACTGTGTCAGTGTTTGTACAAAGAGACCACATTTCTTATTATCTAATGCATTATTTGGCTTAATCAAAGCTTTAACTTACTCTACAAAATTCTAGCACATAAGATATTTTTAATAGGTTTCACCTTTTTTCTCCCTTTATAAACATCTAAAAATTCTCAAAGTCAGCATGTTTTCTTTTAGTTTTAGTGCAAACACAATGGAACTGATTCATGTTTAGACTTTGTGCACCAAAGGACACTTAATGTTATCTTTTCTACACAAACATAACCCAGATAATTAACATCATTGGTGTTTAAATCTTCATAATAAGATGTGTAAGGTGAGTGAATAACATACACTGTCACGTAGTTACTCTGAGATAAATGAATGTGTCACCATAAACGCGCATTAATGTCCACAAATTGAAACTAGATACACTGTATGATAGAGGACTTTATAGACTACAGGTGTCAAAACTTACAGCTGTGGATCTTCATACTACACCAAAGTAATTTATCTACTATAGAAAACATTTTATGTGCATTAACAAAAACTTTGTTTATTAATTACCGTATTTTCACGACCATAAGGCGCACTTAAAAGTCTTAGATTTTCTTCAAAAAGTGCGGCGCGCCCTATAGCGCGGTGCGCCCTATGTGTTGTAAGGAGGACGTAGTAGAGAACACCATGAGAACGTTAAAGGGTGAAGTGTGGGCGTTGATCGTATATACCGGGACAATCGCACATACCTGTATAAAAGAACAGGTATGTGCATTATGCAGGACATCGTTGTTTTAACAACCCTGAAAATGGCAAAGAGACACGCTTACGAAGCACAGTTTAAACTGAAGGCCATCAGCTACGCGGAGGAACATGGAAATCGAGCAGCGGCGAGAGAATTTAAGATTAACGAATCGATGGTTCGCAAACGGAGGAAGCCGGAAAACAAGCTCCGGCAGGTCAAGAAAACGCAGCTGAGTTTCCGCGGACATAAGGCGAGGTGGCTCGAGTTGGAGGAAAGACTCGAGCGGTGGATCATCGAGCAAAGAGCGAGCGGGAGAAGCGTTTCGACGGTCACCATTCGGCTAAAAGCAGTTTCACTAGCTGAAGAGATGAACATTGAACATTTCCGAGGAGGTCCGTCTTGGTGCTTTCGTTTTATGAAACGGTGCCATTTTTCCATCCGGACCAGGACTACGGTAGCGCAGCAACTTCCAGCGGATTATAAGGAAAAGCTGGCCATCTTCCGCTCCTACTGCAGCAAACACATCGGCGACAAAAACATCCAGCCCAGCCACATCACTAACATGGACGAGGTCCCGCTCACTTTTGACATCCCGGTGAGTCACACTGTGGAGAAGCAGGGGACCAGCACGGTAGCGATACGCACAACGGGGTATGAAAAGTCTTCTTTTACTGTTGTGCTTGGCTGCCATGCTAATGGACAGAAACTGCCGCCTATGGTGATTTTTAAGCGAAAGACTTTGCCTAAAGAGAAGTTTCCAGCAGAAATCATTAAGGCAAATGAAAAGGGCTGGATGGATGAGGAAATGATGAAAGACTGGCTGAGGGAGGTGTATGTAAGGAGACCAGGTGGTTTTTTCCACGCATCACCATCGCTGTTGATCTGTGACTCTATGCGTGCCCATCTCACAGCCGATGTGAAAAAACTTGTGAAGCAAATGAACTGTGAGCTTGCTGTCATTCCGGGAGGCCTGACAAAGGAACTCCAACCGCTGGACATCGGTGTGAACCGCCCGTTCAAAGTAAGGCTGCGAGCGGCCTGGGAGCGATGGATGACCGGTGGAGACCACAGTTTCACTAAGAGTGGAAGGCAGCGCCGGGCGAGTTACGCCACAATTTGCCAATGGATTGTAGATGCTTGGGCTAACATGTCTGCTGGCACTGTTGTTCGAGCTTTCGCAAAAGCCGGCATCGTTTCCGAGGAGCTGCACGGCACGGAAAGTGACTCTGACAGTGAAGACAGTGAACCTGGCATGTTTGATGGAGATTTAGCGCAGCTGTTCAATTCAGACACAGAGGATGAGGACTTCGATGGGTTTGATTGATGATAAAAATGTGAGTACCAAACTTTGTTTTGCTCCTGCTTTATTTTTAAATACGCACACTTGTATGCTTGTGTGTTGTTGATGATGACGATTACCGGCAATAGAAATGTGAGTAAGGTACCGAATTCAGGTTTGCTCCCGCTTTATTTTTAAATACGCATACGGTACTTGTATGCGCCCTATGGTCCAGTGCGCCTTATGTGTGTGTTAAATACAGTAAGGGCACACATAACTGAGACTGCGCCTTTTAGCACAGTGCGCCTTATGGTCGTGAAAATACGGTACTGGGCATTCTTGGCATTCTTTTTTGTGGTATTACACATTTAATCCTACAATTTAAACCCCCAAAGTTGTGCTGACAACTTTGTGATACTGTTTGAACTGCATATTTGTCTCTTATATTAAGATATCTCGGAGTATAACTTTAACACTGACAGAAAGGCAAGTTTCACTGATCCAGGTTGACATTCCTTCTATAGACAGATCCCGTTCGGATGCTATTAATGTTGATGAGTCACCAAATAATTACTTAGTGAGAATTACTATAATTAGTTTTAGAAAACTCTATTGTCTGGATTTATATTAATCTCTACTAGGAACTCCACAAAAACACAATAAGTACACTCTTAGGGTATTTTCACACCTACAGTTCATTTATGTTGGTCCGAATTAGTTGGCGATTCGTAATTTGTTTTTTTTTTCCCAAAAAGAAGAATCCAAGCAAACCAAATTTCATCACTACAAACCATGTGAAAATGTTCAGTCTACTTAATGGCCAGATGTGTGTGGAGTGGGAGCAACAAAGACAAATGGAAGATAGAAGATGCTGTGTTCTGGATGACTGGTGAACACGGAGAAATGCTAGCCTGTACAGACCACATCTATAGTACATTGCTGCATCACAGAATTTTTTTCTTTTAAACCTCAGACTTGCAATGTACAACTAGTAGCTGATCCAGACTGAGGTTGGATCACATTCACACCACATCTGTGGTTAGTAGTCCAATGTAATGTACACAGAATGTTAATGAGCACAACTTTTTTATCCTGACATTAATGTGAAAAGCTGAACTGACTGTTATTATGATCAAATACGCTGGAAGACAAATTTTCTTTACAGTGAAGTATTTCATAAACAAAAAGAGAAAATGAAAACTGGGATAAACTGTGTGAACTACTGACCGTGAATGAGGGAGCCATTGAGCCACTGAATGTAGTAGTTTTGGGGGAAGGAGAGCAGGATCTCATTACTAATGATTGAGAAAGGCAATAAGGAGACGGCACCACCCGACACTGCCAGAGTGAAGGTGCACAAGTACAATCTGTAAATGTAATCAACACACAGACATAGACACACGTACAGACTCATGTTAGGGCAATTCCAGATAACAACACCAAAAGGAAAAATCGTTTACTTACTGAAAGATTAGATTAGTTTAGATTATTGTATATTCTAAAAAAATAAAAATAAAAATAAAAAAAGGCCACTTGCATCAAGTGGGAGTGTGTCACACGGATAAACATTTCCAGCAAGCAACATATTAGCTTATTTAGAATCAGTAGCCACTTAAATAAAACTAAACCTTCACCACCTTTGCCTTAGTCCACGAACAACAAAAGGCATAAACTGGGTATTTTTTCACAATATAGTGTCCAGACTCTGCCCAAGGCAGTGACCAGCTGCTCAGTGGGCCCGACACCCGTTTGCTAAAAAAGCATGTTAATCAGGCATGCTATCTATTGTGTGCGCAGGACCCTAAGGTACCATGTCCTCCAGCTGGAAATAAGCAGGCAGGACGAATGCGATGACAGCAGTCATACAATGAAGGGTGGATGTAAGATCCTAGCTGGAGTGATGTGATACCTTCATCACTGGTCTAGAAAATGAAACCATTTTTGAAACATACAGATTGTTGGGGAGCAAATTTATGAAAACATTTTTCTGGTTATTAGTAATTAATGATTATTTTGCTTAAGCTCGTCTTCTTCTTACTTTCTACATTAAATGAATTAACTGATTTGGACGCAGTAAATTCTGAATTGCAGAAAATTCATTTAATTTAATTAAGAAAATTAATGGTTAGCATCTACAAATAAAGAATTTTTTTTAAATTTTTGTACGGAACAAAATCCCACACTCACGATATTCTGTTGACAACAGCATCTTCATCCTCGTGGTCATCTAAAGAGGGAAACAAAAGTCCTTCAGTTTCAAGGAGAAATCCTGAGTCAGACTATAGACTCTGCAAAGACTACACTGTATATGTAAGTACAGCAGAACATAATCTAACACAGGTCATTTCAGCTTTGTAATACAACAGTTTCCTCAAAGCACTTTATGGTACATTATGATGTAAAGACCCCACAATGTCAGGAAATCCCAGCAACCATATAATTCCCTTACAAGAGAGCAATTGGTGATGGTGAGAAAAAAGAACTTAATTTTAATTTAGATTCAGAGAGGCAGCTACAGTGGGGCAAAAAAGTATTTAGTCAGCCACCGATTGTGCAAGTTCCCCCACCTAAAATGATGACAGAGGTCAGTAATTTGCACCAGAGGTACACTTCAACTGTGAGAGACAGAATGTGAAAAAAAAAAAAAAAAAAATCCATGAATCCACATGGTAGGATTTGTAAAGAATTTATTCGTAAATCAGGGTGGAAAATAAGTATTTGGTCAATAACAAAAATACAACTCAATACTTTGTAACATAACCTTTGTTGGCAATAACAGAGGTCAAACGTTTACTATAGGTCTTTACCAGGTTTGCACACACAGTAGCTGGTATTTTGGCCCATTCCTCCATGCAGATCTTCTCGAGAGCAGTGATGTTTTGGGGCTGTCGCCGAGCAACACGGACTTTCAACTCCCGCCACAGATTTTCTATGGGGTTGAGGTCTGGAGACTGGCTAGGCCACTCCAGGACTTTCAAATGCTTCTTACGGAGCCACTCCTTTGTTGCCCGGGCGGTGTGTTTTGGATCATTGTCATGTTGGAAGACCCAGCCTCGTTTCATCTTCAAAGTTCTCACTGATGGAAGGAGGTTTTGGCTCAAAATCTCACGATACATGGCCCCATTCATTCTGTCCTTAACACGGATCAGTCGTCCTGTCCCCTTGGCAGAAAAACAGCCCCATAGCATGATGTTTCCACCCCCATGCTTCACAGTAGGTATGGTGTTCTTGGGATGCAACTCAGTATTCTTCTTCCTCCAAACACGACGAGTTGAGTTTATACCAAAAAGTTCTACTTTGGTTTCATCTGACCACATGACATTCTCCCAATCCTCTGCTGTATCATCCATGTGCTCTCTGGCAAACTTCAGACGGGCCTGGACATGCACTGGCTTCAGCAGCGGAACACGTCTGGCACTGCGGGATTTGATTCCCTGCCGTTGTAGTGTGTTACTGATGGTGACCTTTGTTACTTTGGTCCCAGCTCTCTGCAGGTCATTCACCAGGTCCCCCCGTGTGGTTCTGGGATCTTTGCTCACCGTTCTCATGATCATTTTGACCCCACGGGATGAGATCTTGCGTGGAGCCCCAGATCGAGGGAGATTATCAGTGGTCTTGTATGTCTTCCATTTTCTGATGATTGCTCCCACAGTTGATTTTTTCACACCAAGCTGCTTGCCTATTGTAGATTCACTCTTCCCAGTCTGGTGCAGGTCTACAATACTTTTCCTGGTGTCCTTCGAAAGCTCTTTGGTCTTGGCCATGGCGGAGTTTGGAGTCTGACTGTTTGAGGCTGTGGACAGGTGTCTTTTATACAGATGATGAGTTCAAACAGGTGCCATTCATACAGGTAACGAGTGGGGGACAGAAAAGCTTCTTACAGGAGACGTTACAGGTCTGTGAGAGCCAGAGATTTTCCTTGTTTGAGGTGACCAAATACTTATTTTCCACCCTGATTTACGAATAAATTCTTTACAAATCCTACCATGTGGATTCATGGATTTTTTTTTCACATTCTGTCTCTCACAGTTGAAGTGTACCTCTGGTGCAAATTACTGACCTCTGTCATCATTTTAAGTGGGGGAACTTGCACAATCGGTGGCTGACTAAATACTTTTTTGCCCCACTGTAGCTGCCACCCCTGGTTGGGGAGTGTGGGGGAAAAGAGAAGAGACAGGAGAGCACAGGAAGACTACGAAAAACAAACAAGACAAAAAACAAACTCTGGGCAAACATAGAAGAGAAAAAAAAAAAAAAAAAACAGCAACATGGATATAATAACATAATGAACGCTTTCATACAGATAGCTCAAAGTATCTGATATTCTCTACTCACCATACAAAACCAAAATGTATGATTAACTATCAGTACAAATACAGAACAAATTTCAGACAGCTGAAAAAAAAATGGATGCGTCCAGGTCTGAAAACTAAAGCCAACAGCCTTCACTTTTTGCAAAAAACCAAACGTCGGCCAATGAGCTTCCACCTTCAGTCAGACCCATACCTCACTTGGCACATTGAGTGTCAAAACACTAAGAGTCAGCGAAAACATTTCACAAACCAACAAGTAAACAAGAGGCTGCATCGATTTTATATACGTCATCAGGGGAAAAACGTCAAACAGCAGGCTAAGAATGTTGTACCCTTAAATATTATGTACCAGTTTTGTTACCTTGGGATTCAGTTAATTGTGGATAGTGGAAATTTCTATGTCACAAATGGTTAAGCGTAACAAGGCAATCCAAAGAAGTCCCACCCAGAACCAGAATAACCCTTGGACCTGTACCGTACTAATAATGCTTTTTACAACCATACAAGTGTTGATATTCTCCACTGACAGTAAACAGCTGGATGCACATGGTCACACATCCTATCTGAGCCTTCTTCCTGTTTTAAAAGAGCTTTTCCTCTACACTGTTGCAAGTGCTTACCTTATCATGTTAAGTACCTTGAGAAGACTTGTGCTAATGCTTTGGCACTATATAAAGAAAATTCAATTGAATCAAATCTCTGATTCTATTATCTAAAGCAAAAAAATAAAAAATAAAAAAAAATTTGATGATGGAAGCTAAAATACTCACACATTATTTGCTCTATAACCCAAAACCCAAACCACTGGGTGCAGCCTAGTTTTCTACAGTTTAAATCTCCAGAAGGGATTTCTGATGTGAAGTGGTCTACTTTTAAAATAAGACAAGGTAAGGCTGGGTGACCTGGACAAACTATATTAGCCTTGGGAAAATGGGAAAGAGTTCACATTATCTACATGACTATTTTTGTGCTACATGTTTGTATTTTTCTTTTCTTCTTGTTCTTATCTCCTTGTTTGTCACACAGGTTACAATCAATGTTTTAGGTGACGTAGCTGAAGTTATCAACCTCACAGGACAAGTTATGTCAGCATTAACCTAACAGCTTTTGTGACCAAGTGGATTAATGTGGCCACAGCCCTTCCAACACAAAGCAGGCTGTGTTCAGGCGTGGGTGTGACCCAAAGCAAACAACTATAGTATCCTTGGCTGTAAAAAATCATGAGTTCTGAGTGTGAGCAAACACAGCATAAATGACAAAATAAGCAAACCTCTGTTATGCTTGGTGTGAGAATCGTTTCACCGCAGACACAGCGCTGCTTTTTACGTGTTACAGACAGGCGAGAATTTTAGTCTGAACTCACATTTTGCACAGCACTTACCACTCTTCCTCTTGTATCTGGTTATGATGAAGTAGGACACGATGTAGAGGACGGCAAACAGGAGGAAGCAAATCTGAAACAACATCACAAGAATTTTAATGCAGGATTTATTATGACAAGGGATGAATCAGCACATTGGAGACACCATATGCACCATCCACCCAGCAGATTTTAAACCCCAAAATATCCCACATTAAGACTATGACACACTTAGGTATTAAAAGGATTGTCAAAGTATTTCTTACACCATATGCTGTATATACAATGCTAATACCATTGTGTGCAGCTCAAAATCAGTAATACGTGGTCTTAGGTACAGAGTAGTTATTGTGTTTTTATATGATGAAGTTGAAAGATCAAAACCTTCTTCTCAGAGCTTTACTGCGATACCACTGTTAAATGTACAAGCTGTGCTCCCCCACTCTGAGGAACACACTGGGAATTCATTTATATCCAAGGCATTATCAGGCTTGACCATCTCTCCCAATACTGTAAAATAATAGGATCAACAGAAGTAAATACAGGAAGAAATTGATGTGTTCTGAACTAGTAGATAACAAAGGAGACTTCAATCCCAACATTTGTATTTATCTGAATAATATTTTAGGCAAAACTCGACTGTCTATGGTGTCTGTCGCAAAGAATAGCTGGCTATAAGAAGGCATTTAGCTCAAACTTGTAGCCTACACGTCACTCTGGAGTTTCTTTGGAACTGAGACTGAGACCACCTCGGGAGACCAGTTGTTTTGGTCCACACCCAAAAGCGATTACCGTGTTCACAAATGAACTGCACCAAAAGGAAAAACAAACCAGAGTCTGATATGAATGGACTAAACGGTGTGGATGTTAAAAGATCAAGACTGCCGTTTAACAGCAATGGCAGATTTCTTACAATGACCAACATATTCTGAGCTCACACAAGGTAACTTTTAGTTGTAATGGTGTAACCTCTAATTATTTGCATAAAAGCAATTTTGCATTTTGCATTAAAGCAAGTCAATAACTTCTCATGCTCTAATATTGAGCAATTTACTTTTGTGTACCAGTAAATGATTACTGCAACTCAATTGTGCATGTCCCTTATGTCAGTTGCAAAGTTTATGCAGAAACCTTAATTGCAACCACATGATAGCACATTAACAGTGGCAACTAAGATGTTTAATATGACCCATTTATTCGATTAAAGTAGGAAAGTGAGAATTGCATTGTTGCTCTTATTTGTCTGATGACACTAATTAGGTCGAAGCTACATGCAAAGTGGTCCACAAATTAGATAACCACAGCCTCAAAACAAGCCACAGAAAGATCACTTTCCACATTCCCTTCTTCTCCTGTGACAGTGACCAGGACGCAACTAATCTTAGAAGCTCCCACTTCAGCACTTTGCACCTTGTCAACACCACATAGCTCACTGCGGCCGAGCTGGGGTTATGAGAGGATTCAACCAGATGCCAGGCGGACATACACAACACAGACAGGCAAACTGGCATAATAAGAAATGCCAAATGTCATAATGTGACAGCAGCAACAAAAACATTTTTCCTATCATATGCAGTCCCCTATCAAATGAAAGACTGCTCATATGTTTCTAGCTAGATTAGGGGCCATAAAACAAGGGAAAATGCCTTTTCATGTGAGGTGAAAGAAACCTCCCACAGGCTTGCCGGAAGTGAATTTTGACCTTTAAGGAGGGCAAAAGTAAAGGAAAAAGATGTGCTGAGAGGGAAAAATAAGCTTTTTTGAAAAACAGAATTTGGCACAACAATCGTTTCAGCATTACAATCCTATGTTACCAAATTGGTGGAAATTGGCTTGAACGGAAGAACAGCAATACCTTTTTCCCCGCTAAAAGGGGCTTAACAGATAAATAATCAACTTGTTTTCATGTACTGTGGCAATAAAACTCATTCAGGAGTAGTTTGATTTCAGAGACAAAAACCTGAAATATCCATCTATTTTGCAGATTAAGTTATTAAAAACAATATTATTAACAGAGGTACATTCTGGGCAGTACTGTATACCATTAGCTTGAGTGTGTTTTTGATGTGTGCATTACCTTAAATAGCGTTATCTTCAGACTTCTCTAACACATTTCCAAACTTTAATTATTGCCAGATTATCAGAAAGATGCTTATTAGACAAGGGAAGGATCTTTCCTAATGCTGTGATGACCACCACAAGGCAAAAACATTAGCAATAAACCAGAATAAACTGGTGAAATTAATAATTTGTCCCTCCTTTTGGTTAAAGTGTCACTAGTCTGGGTATTTAATAATGGAAGAATATGATTTTGGTTTAGCATCACAGATGAATATACTGAAAAAGACCAGCCTTTTCAGAAACTTAAGTAGTAAAAAGTACTTTCTCATAATGGTAACAATCTCATAAAATAATAATAATAATAATAATAATAATAATAATAATAATAATAATAATGGCTGATTGTGACGTCAATTATAATAAAACTTTTTATTTTGTAAAATACAATGGTTAATAGTCTACAAAAAAATGTGAAAGCCTGATAATGACCTACAAGCTTTGTGATGAGATGACAAAGAAATATGATTACTGTCCAAAACATGTGTGAACTGTGGTCAAAATTATTCAACTCTAACCTGATTTTTCTCAGTAACCTAATTTTCTACATTCTTGCTAAACATAGGCACAGAATTTTTGCATTATTATTTACAAGTGGTTTCATTGTGGAAGAAAAATGATTCCCAGTTAGGGCCTGATGAGAACATGAGGTCCTGTCACTGAGAGATGTTTACTGACTTTAAGCCTAACCTACAGTAACCCCAACTGCAAAACAAGTACACACAATAACTGGAAAATATCAGTCGCCTGGCACCTGTATAAAAAATTAAAATTAAAAAAATCCATCCATAAGCTGACTCACCACAGACATCAAGATGAAATGATACACTGATGTTAATCCATCACACAGAACGATTTGCAGTTAGAAATGTTGATATAAGATACTGACATCCAGGCGTACAGGCTCAGGACAAAATGTGCAAGCTAAAGCTCAGATGTTGGCCTTGCTTAGTGCTGAGATATCTGATAGTCTCTATATTACACAAGATTCTGACAGGAATAATTAAGGAGACTTACTCTAAACCTCTGAAAACTGAAACCTTTTTTACTCTTTTAGTTTTCTTTTATTTGTTTTTTTTCTCCCACCTAGAGCTATGGAGACATCAAGACACCACAATTCAATGAGAAAAGACAGGAAACTGTATACCCAAAGGCTAATTTTGGAAAAACACTGATAGACAGTATATTAAAGTTGTTTTAAAAAAAAGAAATGGAGTTTCTAGCAAAGCATTTCACAAATAGGTAAGTCTAGAGCCACTCTGCTGGACAAACTTTGTATTGATACATCTAAATGAAATTAAACAGCTTCTACCGTATGCTGTGTAAAAAAGAACAGGTGACACACTGCTGATAAGATAACTGCCACATGAATAAATTAGGTGGTTGTGTTACTTAGCAATGCTATATTTTTTGTATTGTGAGCTTAAAAGTTACTATGGACAGTCTCTAACACACAGAAAGAGAGACTTAACGAGAGAGATATGACATTCAAGGAAATCCAAATTTGAAATCTATGGAAGAAATCTGCAACAGCAAATACAGTGGTAGAACGTTTATAAAAACCTTATTTTGGATGAAAAGTCAGTAGACAGTCTTGACTGGTAACTATTCAAGCAGCCTTTAGGTCCCAGGGACCACTGAACTCTAATTTAATTTAGATGGCTGGTGATTGCATTAGATAGTTTCTTGAAAGACAGAATGTACCGTTGCAGTGGGGAAACATCTCTCCGATAAGAACCTAACATACATGCATATTGCATTGTCACAAATCACCTTTATATTATTTGCCAAATTCAACAGACTGTAACATGTCAACAAAATGGTCTTCTACATAAAATGCATAGATATAACTATCAAAACATTAACAATGTTAATTCTACTAAAGCAGGAAGGCTTTAAATGATCATATAATGGGATTTAATCACCCCTAATTACACAGTGAATGACATATGAGACAAACTGGTTACATTTCCAGGGTGTACCCCGCCCCTTGTACTGGATAATCAGAAGAAAATGGATGGACGGTCTACACTGGGATGTGGCATTACACCGATATTGACTGATGATCGTTTTTAGAAATACTGGTGGACGCCAGTGCTACCCCTCAGCCTCCTAGTAGATACATGTATGGTGTCAATTAGAAAATCCTACGCCACCTTCTTCTCAAGTTATTGCTTTCACAAGATTTTCAAAAAACAACTTAACCTCTGACCTTGAGGTTGAGGTCACTGACATTCAAACTTGTCTGAGATTTTTAGCTACACCTGTAGTATTAATTTCAAACTCCTATGCCGCCTTGAGTTATCGCAGTCACACACTTGCTTGTCAACAACATCTACCCACTCAGGTGATAATACCCCATCAGCCTTTTACAGCTGGGAGGTAAAAAGGACATAATGGTACTGTGTTTAAAAATAAAAACATATTAAACAGAGGTTTTATGCTCAAAATGGAGCTATGACGAGTGACTATGAATGTAATCATGATTAGTCCTCATGCCTCACTTAACAAAAGCAGGTGCATTTTTCCTGTTATTTCTATCTTTTAAAAAAACTACAATAAACCACTGTATAATATAACTTATATTAATAAACACATCATGAGTGAAGATGGATTTTTCCACAAAGATATCACTATAATTATCAATATCATCTGGTGAGCAGGATAAACCTGCAGTCAAAATCTGATACGGTTACTCTGTACTAAATTTTAATTTATTTAATTTAAACTAGTTTGTACAGATTACGTGTCATATGGTGGCTTCTGTAACACAAAGATTACCCAACTTTAAAGATAAAGTATAGCTTATCTTTGCAGCCAAACTCTACGATAAAATGTAAAGACCAGGTATTACGACAATATCATGCGATAAAAATCTGATATGGTGACTGCGAAAAAGTGTACGGTTTTTAAACGGAGCATCAAGCAGCGAGAACATAAACACTTCATCCTGATTTGAAACATATGCGACACACAAAGCTTGAATTAGACAGGACCCTGACATTTTGTCAATGCCACAGTTACAGATACCTCTACTTAACCGTGGGGATGTTTACATGCCAAATAACATCATATAGTGGGTTAGCCAAGTTCTCCTGTGATTAACTTGGTGGCAGCTAGCGTTAACGGAAGCTCGTGTTAATTAGCGGGTTCACGCACTTTTTTATATTTAAACCCAACTTGGTGTGTGACATAACCGGGCATCAAATTTCATTGTTTCTTTTTACATTTTTTAAGTGGGTCTTAAAATACAATATCAAGCTTAAACGAATACTGCCGAGTCAAACTGACAGGCAAAGCTAACGCTAGCAACCGTTAGCGAGCTAGGCTCGACTAGCCGCTCCGCTACTTACGATGTACTCCCGAACTTGGCTGTGGAAATTCTGCTCTCTAATAGTCACATCGTCTTCTTCCATTCTTCATATTGCAAGAACAATTAAAGCTACTGAGTCCCTACATTCTCGCCTGTACAACTGACAGCAACCAGGGTAGCAACTCCTCCTGCTTCGTCTATACTGTTCTGCATAGACTGCTCTGACTGGTTAAAGACAGTTTACATCGGAGCGACGTAAACCACCCCCGAAAAACCGCCCCAAAATAAAATACGTCATCAGCTGCCCTGGAAGGGAAAGGTCACGTGTTTCTGGGTCATCCTCATGGAGGCCCATGTGCATTGTAAGGTATTTATATGATCAGAATAGTTCAGTTTCTTTTATTTTGTGTGCTTGTAGCAGTTTACAGGCTAAGCTATCTCTAAGCTAGCTACCGTTGAATTCGTAGAAATGAAAGGGAACTGGAAGCATAAAGGTAAGACGAAGAATAAGAAGAAAGGCAATGCCGTGTTACAGAAGTACAGGGAGGCAGTGGATGTTTTCCTTAAAAGCAAAGGTGGCTCGGAAGAAGCGGAGAGTGACCAGAGGTTGAGATTTGTGAAAAAGAAGAGTCGAAAGGAACTACGCAAGGAAAAGCGGAAAATGAAAAAAGCCAAAATGAAAAGTCACTACGAGGGCAAAAACACCGTCTCTCTGCCCCCAAGTGATGAAGGAAACCCGAAAAAGGGGGCTGACAAGCATCAACAACCACACACGCAGAAAAAGAAAATGGAGAAAACAAAGAAGGAAGGGTCGAAGTCGCATCCAAGCGAGCCTAAAGACAAGTCAGACAAGTCTGAGACACCACCTCCTTCCAAGAAAGGCAAGCAAGTCAATAAGCTTCAGGAAACAAGAAAATTGGCACTTATGGAGGCAAATGAACAAGAGGACAGAGAAATAAAGAAGCTGGAGCGATGTCTTGGATTAAATAAAAGGAAAAACAAAAAAAGTCTCCCTCAGTCTTTTGTGGCTGATGGACTTGATTACATCCTTGGGGTGCTTGACTCTGGATCATCAGCTGTGGGCTTGTATGAAGATGATGATGTTGACATGGAAACAGCCAAAGAGAACTTTAAAAAGCTAGATGACTCTCAGGGGTCAGGCGAGGACCCGGAATCTGAAGGAGAGATGGCGAGTGAAGGCAGCGATGATGACATTGATGATGACGGTGAAGATGAAGATGATGACATGTCTAATGAAGAGGAAGCGGATGAAGATGAGGAAATGGAGGATGACCAGGAGGGGCTTAATGATAGTGGCGGGCCTGATTCAGAAGATGAAAAAGAAGGGGAAACAGAGGAAGAAACAGACGCTCCCGATACAAAAACGGAGACTGTGAGTGCAGATATATGTAATATCTGGTTGTTTCTATCACTTCATTAGATAATCTTGCTTACTGATCTATTAATCTAATAATAAACTAATTCTTACAATGTCAAGGTCACCTCCACAAGTGGCAAGTACTTGCCACCTCATTTGCGTAACATGGGAGATGATAAACGCAAAGCTGAGCTAGAAAAACTGAAGAGGAACGTGAAAGGTCTGATGAACAGGTAACACAATGAAGTCGATCCCCCAATGGGAATTTTATTTATATAGCACATTTCATTATATGAATCAATTGATTTTGGGTCTTTTTTTTTAAATACATGGCTGTAAATGTCTGGTAGAACAGGTCACCTACTAATCAGATGGTTGGTGATTCAATCACTGGCTGCTTCAGTCTGCATTGTTGGTCAAGATGTAAACCTCTAGTTGCTCTCAGATGAATTCATCAGAGGGTCAATGTTAGATAGAAATAATTTAAAGTGGTGAATGAGGCATATATAAAGTGCTCAGGTAGAGTAGAAAAGTGCTATATAAGAACCAAATCTATGAAAGCTAGCAGCTTGTTCCAAAGAACAGGACCACAGTACCTATAAGCAGCTTCACCACACCTTCTAACTCTGGGAAGGCTTAAAAGATCTGCAGCTGATGACATGAGAGGTCTGACTGGGTTGCAAACACTGAGCAAATCTGGGGGCCCGAACCTATTGATATGATAAAACTGCAATCACTGTCCAAAATAATGAGACCTAGATCATAAATAAGAACGAATTTTCTGTCGCTGACTTCTTGGACCAACAACATATAACAGCTAAAATAGTTAAATAATAACTGATGTGCGACGTTATAGCTCCACTGGTTGAGCAGGTGACCCGTATATCGAAAGGCTGCAGGGACTTCGTTCAATTTGGACCTGGTCCATTTCCTGAGGGTCATTCCCCCCTGCTCTCCCTACTTTCCTGTGTATTCTTGACTGTTATGTCCAATAAAGGCTGAAAACACCCCTCCCCCTTTTAAAAACAAAATGTAAAACTTGGCTACAGCTAACTGAGAATATTGATAGAAGCCTACAAAGCTCATCTTAGGCATAGGTAGGACAGGTACTCGTATAGCTCTAACCCTTTACTACAACCCACGTTCAGTCGTTTACACACATTCATACAGCACTTTATTTGCTTTTAAGTGTTTTCTAACTATCACCTACAGACTCCAGTGTAGAATATGAGCCATAGGTGGTTTGTCTTAGTTTAGTAATACTTACTCATGGTTTTAAATTTATAAATGGGTCATTTTGATGGATTTTAATCCAGGTTTTATACAGAGACTTTTCTGCAACCAACTATTAGAAGCAAACAAACATTTTATAAAATATTAATTAATCACTTCAGGAATTATTCAGTGGAAGCCTCTTGCTTGTTACCTGGTTAGTTAGATGCAGGTACTGAAAGAAGTAGGTAGTTTAAATTCCCACACATAGGAAAAACTAATGTAAGTTATTTAAATTCTGCACAGTTCATTGTTGTTTTGTCATCCTCAGGTTGAGCGAGCCCAACATGTCATCCATCTGTGGTCAGCTAGAGGAGCTGTATATGAGCTCCAGCAGGAAGGACATGAACGACACCCTGACAGAGTTGCTGCTAGCAGCCTGCGTCACCCCGACCCTGATGCCAGACAGATTACTGATGGAGCACATCCTGCTTGTCAGCATCCTCCATCATGCTGTGGGCTTGGAGGTAAGACCCCCTCCTTTGAGCCCTCAATTTGAGGTTTATGGTCTGCCAGAAATTTTCAAATAGACACAGAGGTATTTAAAATATGGCTTGTAGGCTGGTTTTACTTCCTGTAAACTTGTGGAGATGCTCAGATCTGGTACATAGATAGAAGCGTTAACACGGTTGCTGGTGTGTGTGAGAAATAAAAACCACTGACCTGATTCACATCAGCTCTTAGATTATTTACAGGAGGCTGTTTTTCTAACTGGCTAGCTTCTTTTGCACATCTCAGTTGAAAAGTAATACCCTTTAAATAAATTGGAAGGGGATCTGTAACACTGATTGTTATCTGTCAGTTTGATTGGTCTACGTCATTCTCTAAATGACATAAAACATAAATATTAAACTCAGGCCTACCAGGCAAATTTAAGGTCTGGCTATTCCAGCATGGCATGCTACAAAGACTCTTGTTTATCATCCATAGTGGAGGAATTCAGTGTGGCAATGTGCAGGGTTGTAATGCTCCTTAGAGACTTGACTGATAACAAGGTGACTGACACAGGAGTCACTACAATAGCTGGATGCAAAAGCAGGCACATCAGTGGCACAAGCAGAAAGTATGCTGAAATTGAGAGAAGTTACTGGCAACCCCTGCTTGGGGCGTCAGGGATTCGGATCCACTCACTTCCAGTAATGGGTAAAATCTGATCCAAGACAGAGGAGAGACATGGTTCAAGCTGAGATCCGGGAGTTCGAGGAGGAAGGTAGAGTGTCCTGGGCAAAAGCACTGGGTTCACAAGGAACCTGGATGAAGTGAGATTAGTTGGGCTGAACTTTGGAGATTGGAGCCTTGCTCCGCTCAGTTTATTACGCCCTTCCATCACCAACAAGCTACAGAGGGAACAGAGGGTGGTAGGCCTGGCTATTCCCAGTCCAAGTAGGATGCATGGGGTTCCCTGCACAGTCTGAGTGGAACACACTCACGGCTTTTGGAATAACAGGAAGAGATAAAAAGGCAGCCATCCATAGGTTAGAGGAGGCCGCCGAGAGAGCTTCTTGTTGGCTCTAGAATAAGAGGGAGGAGGGTAACTGGGGACCAGGAGGAGGGTAACTGGGGACCAGGAGGAGGGTAACTGGGGCCCAGGAGAAGATGGGCACTGACTGGCCATCACTGCTGATCCAACGACCTGAGGCTGTTGTTTTTCAGAAACACCCGATAATAGTTGAACACCACCTGACGACATCTTCTCCTGGTCGAAGTCGCTGTAGCACTATATATAGTTTTATAAACATTAGGCTGATATTTTAAGCCATGTGCTATTGGCTTAAACATTTGGGTTTGTTTATAAACCTTGTCATATATTAAATTTTTGGCACTTTTTTATTATTTGGCATATTTTTCCACACTTAAATGTTTCAGATCATCAAACAAATGTTAATATTGAACAAAGATAACCCGAGTAAAATACAAAATGCAGTTTTTAAATGATGATTTTATTTGTTAAGGGAAATAATGCTATCTAAACTAAATGTGGTGAAAAAGTATTTGCAGCCTCTTATTAAATCATTAATCTGCTGAGATTAAACACACTGGCCATAATCAGTTCATGCCTTTATACTCAAGCACACTTGGGTTCTGCAGCAGGACAATAATCCAAAACAGACCAGCAAAAACCTAGTGATGGTTTTGGAGTGGCCTAGTCAGAGTCTGGACTTCAATCTGATCGAGGTGTTTTGTCATATTAAATTTTCTTTCACATGAAAAATGCATGTGTAAAGAAATAAGAATTCAGGAAAGCAGAAAAAAAGCAGATACTTTTTCATAGTGCTGTATATTGCTCTCATGTTGATCACATATCTTATATATCCTCTCCTTTTGCAGGTAGGAGCCCATTTTCTGGAGACAGTTGTGCGAAAGTTTGACGAGCACTACAAGAACCCGAGTGGAGGCAAAGAGTGCGACAACCTGATCGCCATCGTTGCTCACCTGTATAACTTCCAGGTGGTACATTCCGTCCTCATCTTCGACATCCTAAAACTGCTGGTGGGAACATTTACAGAAAAGGACATCGAGCTGGTCCTGTTTGTGCTGAGGAATGTCGGCTTCGCCCTGAGGAAGGACGATCCTCTAGCTCTGAAGG